AATTTGGTTGTTAATGTTTTTCTTGCTTATAAGTTAATGATTTGATCATAATTATTTAGATTGTAGAAAATTTGCACTGGATCCCTAGTATATACAATTTTTCAAATTTTTGGGTGATTTTTTAATTTAAGCTGCTACTGAATTAGATAAAACTATTCGAGAATGAGAGGACGTTTCAGGTAACTTGTCTAGAGGCATATTATGCAACCTGTATAATCTATATTTTATGTAATCGAGCGAGACGTTCCAGCCATGCTTAAGAAATCTCTATGTTGACATGTTTAAGAATTATACGCTTGTTTTGTGCACAAAGGTTTTCGCGCTACTGCCAACCTGCGGTTTTTTATCTAGCATCGGTTTTTTCCAATTGCATGGTTTTAATTTCAGCATGTATATTGGAACTATTATGTTTTGCAATGTTTCATGTCACCTTTTATTTATCATTTTTTGAAACTCAAATCCGTGCTTTTTTAAGCATTGATTCTGATGATAGGTGATATTTTTTGAATACTATACTCCATGTTAAGTTTTACTTTTTATTTGATTTTTCCTCTTAATTTTGGGCTTCGGTTTTTGTTTTGGAAGCTGAAGCCCCTTTTGAACTTGTTCACCGGTTACTGCTGCATGGGCTCAATTGGGTGTCCGCTGTCTGAAAAGCCTCCATCCTGCTCTGCGGGTATAATGGAGGCTATGGGGACATAGCACAGTAAGTAGAAGCAGTAGCCGTTAAGTCAACAATTTCAAGAAAGTTGAATGAAACGGCTACGATCGACCACGTTTAGCAAGTTTTTGGGACAAGTTAAGTTCTGTATAAGTTTAAGCAGAAAAATTTTAGTTTTCGCCAGCTTCAAAATTGGTTGACAGTGCATAACCACGATTGTATCTATACTGCTAGATGTCTTCAATAGTATCATTCTGTTTGAAATTAACATTAAAAATGCACTTAATTGTTTTGAATGTTCAATTCATCATCAATTCCCCCCCTCCCCCCAAACACATCTTTTGATCATTTTTAATTCAAGAGTTCCTTTATCCCGTGTTTAAGCCACTGTTACATATATTTTTATTACACTTCACTTCTTATTGTTGAAGCTTTCCAATACTTCACATTTTTTCTACAATGGTCTGTCTACTATTTGTTGTATAAAAAAAAATTTGAACTGTTGCTTTTTAAAAGCTTTTCTTTTTTTTATTGATTAATGCATCACTTGATACATTAAACAAAAATGATACATAAGAAACTTTTATTCTAAATTAAGGTTTGTTTTTGATTCTACTTAAACTCTTTTTAATAGTTGAAAAAAAGACAAGGATCGACGGTTGCTCTGCAAGTAGCGCAGACTTTTCTGACAAAATTCATTGAAAAAAAGTTTTTTTGTTTCTTTTCAGATTAGTTTCGTTTTTAAAGCGTGGTGTTTTTCTAATTTTTCGATCGAATAAAACTAAAACTCGTATAAAATTGGTATTTAGGGTAAAATTGTTATCATAAAAAAATAAATGACGGTTTTTCGAAAAAAATTCTGATTTTTTTTTGTTTTTTGGACAGTTTTTGAAATTTTTCAAACACTTTTTTTTGCCAAGAAAGCCCGCAATTAAACTAACAAAACTAGCTGTGTCTATAGTAGAAATAAGTATTTTTCTACATTACAAGTCTAAATCAAAGTAAATTTTCAATTACCAATTGTTACTCGATTGCTTTATTCGATCAAAATTAGGCTATAAACTTCACCAGTTTTTCTCGAAACTGTAAATTTTTGTTAACAATTTTGCAATGTTTCAGATGATTTTTTGTGGTACCTAATTTTGCGTGAAAAAAGAAAAACTAAAACACGCACCAATCCAAAGTTTCTTCCATTTTGCAATGGTCGGAACATCAATGCGGCTGTTCTATGATTTTTCCTTATTGAGACTTTCTGATTTCTATTTGATTTCTTAAAGCCTTCGGAGTTCCACGTTTATTTTTATATTTATTTGATGCAGTAGTTTTTTTTATATTTATAACTTTTTAGAAAAAAGATTCTCTGGTTTTTATCTTTTTTAACCCTGAAAAAAATTTCGAATGTTTTAGAGAAAAAAAAGTTTTCATTTTTCGGAAAAGAAACTAACAAATAAAAAGTGATGAATGCTTATTTTGTTCTTTTGTTGCTTGTTTTTTTTTGGGTTCACCCGGCGTCTAATTCACTGTTCAACTTTTGCTAGCCTGTCGCGCTCGAAACAATGATTTTTTTGGAATATGGGATGTATAAATGTAAATTTTTGAATTGGTTACTTTTTTGAGCGTTTTTAAAATTGTTTTTTAGCAAGTTTAATTTGATTTTTCTTTTGCTTTTTTGCAACGAAACTTTTTGTATTTTTTTGTATTTGTTTATTTCTTATAATTTGAAAAAAGCAGCCCTATGGTGGGAATGTTGCAAGGATTTTTCCAGGGGTTCTGAAGCTGGCTTCAAAATTTAAGGCTCAAATTTTTTTTTTGAGATGTTTTGATTTTTTTTCGTAATTTGGTAAACAACTATGATACGGTGATGTTGAGGAACACCCAGTGGCTGTAGATGTATTCGTTAAACTTAACTGTGCAATCCGTGTAGTTTCCAAGGCATGAGGTTGCATTGATATTGTTGAAATTGGGGATTGCGAAGTTTGTTTATAATGCATGATGTTGATGTTAAAACTAACTAAGGTTTTTTCCAACAAATGCAGATAGCATGAACTTAATTTAAGTAACGCCACTTAACGGAATTTAGGTCATGCCACTGATCACAGTTCAATGTTTTACTGATGAAATTGAATGTCAAAGTTGAGATATCTTGGAACTTTATCACAAAATCGTGGTGGAATCTTTGCTATAATTTTGGAGGCTTTGCTATAATCTTTGCTATAATTTTGGAGGCCGCAAATGACTTAAAAATTGAAGAATTTGAAGAAAACTTTTCGGAAGTGGCCCGGCGGTTTCAATCCACTTCAAAGAGAACTTTTCTTAATTGTTTGATCTGAGGGCAATGTTGTCTTTCCGAAATAGAAATTTCATGTAGCGGAAGCAATGGTGAACTTCGATAAACCGCATGTTAACAAATTTTTTTACAGGAAAAAATTATAATTTAAGTTATTGTTTTTTAAAACTACAATGACGGTAAAAATTATATTTTTATTGTATATGAAAACAGGACATTGGTGATAGCACAGATTATGCGCAGACATCATACAATGAATAGAGGTGGTTTATGATTGTTATGATCAGTGGAAATGGGTGGAACGTTTGTCTTGGTGTGTTTTAAATATTTTTTTTGTTTCACGCAAAATTAATGCAACAAAAAATAGTCAAAATGGAACGAGTCTTTTATCATATCAAAGTCTTTAAAATCGTGGTTCGAGCGATATTTAAAAAAATTTAAAAAAATTCTCGGTTACCAGAAAAACCGATTTTTTTAAAACTTTCACTCCAATTTCGGTTGAGAAAGCGAGCGAGTAGGCTTATTATAGAAGTATAGAAGAAGAAGAAGAAGAAGAAGAAGAATTAAGTTCACTTAACAATCAGATACACTATTACATTAAACAAAAAGTATATTTTTTATCACATAATAAATGAATCAACAGTTTACCCAAGATTGTTAAGTGAGGATACGCAAAGGGTTTTCTAGGAGCGTACCCCACAGATTACACAAAAGAAAAGCACATCAATGAGTTATGAATAAGTGATAAATATAATATTTATGAAACCAATCAGCAAAAAGAAAAAATTATAAGTTTTTTAGAAGTTAATTAACGCCTCATCCACCTCGCGAAAAAAAAGCCCTTTAATTCTCTAGAAATTTGGGCAGAGTAACGCCCTCTTTTTGAACATTTTTCACAATTTCTTGAAATATGACTATGTCCTTTATTTATATGAAACCTTTCCTTTATAAGCAATGAAACTTTTATTTAAGTCCTCAAAACTTAGTTTTTATCCAGTAAAATTAATTTCTTATGTTTGCTTAGCGCCATTTCAATAAAATGTCTGCAAAAAGCCAGAAAAAATTCTAGAATTTTTTGTTTCTAGTTGTTTTGCGGAAACAGCTGTTGTTCAATATGACTATGGTTATCTAATAAGTCTATTTTTTAGAGGTTCGATGAGATCCTGTCATCACACCATGCATAAAAATAAAATTTAAAAAACGACACACTAATTTAAAAAACGACACAAATAAAGTTTTTTTTTGTAGTTTTTTCAAGAATGTGGTCGGAACATTGTGTTACTAGCACAGCAACCGTCTCTCCTTGTCTTATGTTTGTATCTAGCATTTAAGTCAAAAACTGAAAAAGTTGATTCTTCATCAAACACGTGGTCGATATCATTCTGCTCCTTTTGGCAGGAGTTCTTTTTCAATTTTCTGGTATGGGGTTGACCGATTCTTCAGTAAAATTGTCTGCCAACTAGCGAGCGTAGTGTTCTTTTGAGAACTTTTTTTTCGGACCAAAGGCGCAATTAAAACTGCTCATTTGGTGGCTCTATTGCAGTAATAGCATTGTATCTGGTTTACTTTTGCTGCTTTAGAATTATATCTTTGCATCTGGTTTAGTGGTGGAAAGTGTTTGAAGATTGTCAAGCGCCAATGGTGCAGATTATGGGACCTGTGACTCTTAATCTCGAGGTCTGGGGTGCGAATACAGCACATAAATGAATTATTATTAGCTTTACAATTCTAGTTTTGACCATATAGAGATACCGTTTGCTGTGTTCTCGCTTTAAGTTTGTGAAGTGCAGCTTCGCTTCTATGTGCAAAACAAAAAAAAAATTTCGACATATTTTGTTGGTTTCTGAATCATGATTAATAAATGATAAATGGGCGAAAAAACCCACAATAAGCCACAGATCCTTCCAGTCAGTGACGTGGTCGAAACATAAACCGACTCTAGGGCACAGACACTTCCAATTTGTGAAGTGATTGGAACAATAACACTCATATTCAAAAAAATTAGAGGAATATGCCTGTCGATGTGTATTTATGTAAATCATCATCCTTTTCATTTAGTTTAATACTTAAGATGCAGATATGTCAAATACAATAAAAGAGTTCCAATTATCTCTCGACTCTTATCACAGGAAGCTCTCACGACTCATGAATCTAGTGGCTTCAGGAAATAGCACGGAATCATCGTCGGATAGTGTTCGGAGTCATGATGATATGAGCGGAGTAATGAAAGATTTGATAGACCTGATTGCCTTAACGGAACAACAAATTGAGCACGAAAGCAAAACACAGGCAGAAAAACTGAAATTAATGCACGTCGTTAATGAAGATGATGAAGCGTATGGTGAAAATCTCCAAAATAGTCGAATCTCATTAAGTCACATTGTTGTCTAAAGTATATGAAACAAAAAATCGGATCTATTTAACAATTGCCCCCCCCCCTCCCCCATTTTAAGCACGGGGGGGAATTGTTAAGTAGATTAAAATAACGCATTTTCGACCAACAGATTGCAGCAATTTACATCTAGTGCTATAGTATATCTAGTGCTATAGCAACGCTCTAGTGCTATTTACTGCTTTTATTAATAGGGTTGGCAATTCATAAGTAGATACAAAAGGGAGGGCGATTGTTCAGTACATCTCAAAAATCTCATTTATTTTAATTTCATTATATGAGTAATTTGCGTTTTTGAAAGCTAGGAAAGTTGATTAAGTTCATTTTTTGCTACGATTTAATTGGTCATATATGAAATTGAATTGACCACTTTACAATTCATTTCATTTATATCTACTTCTCTGAAAACTATCTTCTCACTGTCTGAAAATTTTTCGTTAAGATACTATGATAATTTCATCAAACTTTTGATTACTCGCAGCTAAACTGATGTCATAATTTTGAATTTTCGTTGCTTGGTCAATAGATATTTTCACCAGTCCCGATAATGACTCAAGGCAACTCAACGGAGTTAGTGATCATTCTTTGAGTTGCACCGACAGATCGAATGAAAATGAAGTTCTCGATGATTTTACGGGCGACACCAAGAAAGTCCTAGCACCCTATCGGAAACTGAATGGACAAGTTGAATACCTTCCAGCTTTCTACTTTGAGAAAGCATCTATCAAAACTCCAGCTCAAAGTGACATTCTGGCAGTGTTTTACTTGACACCACTGGACAATAAAATGAGACCGTGTCATGATTATCCGTTTTGTGAACGGAAAAAGTGCAAGTTCTCTCACGGAGAAAGTCTGAAATTTAGCCAGTTGAGAAAATTCAAAGGGTTTCAACATCGGAAACTAAAACAAGGGTTGCAGATTCTGTTCAGAGAAGGAGAAGATTCTAATTTATGGAGCGAAGGAAGGATTCGATCGATTCCAAGATTGGAGAAAGAAAAGTCCGGTCAAGCGGAAGAATCGGCTTCGATAAGAGTTGTTTCTGAAAATGGAACTGAGTTTAGCGTGCCTGCAGAGCGAATAGTTAGTAGGAAAATTGTCAAAGGAGTCAATTCTAGTAAGATAAGCGATTCTGAAGATGAAAGTGAGTCCTCAGATTCTGGAAACTCATCGGATGACGAGATTGAATTGCGAGCTTCGGGGAATGGGTTTGGTAATCGTGAAGGTATTACAGACACAAGGTGTCCTAACGATAGACCTTCTAACGAGTTGGAAACCAGTTCATCGACGCCTGCTAAAAGTGGAGATCAAAGCTCAAAAATTGACGAGCGGTTTGGAGGATGGGAAACGCACACTAAAGGTATAGGCTCTAAGATCCTAATGAAAATGGGATACGTCAAAGGCGAGGGCTTGGGAAAAGATAGAAAGGGAATAGTAAAACCCGTAGAAGCGGCTATTTTACCCTCTCGTAAATCGCTGGATCACTGCATGAAAATGAAAAACGCTAAAAGAATCAAAACGGTTGGACAGGATTCGAACTCTGAATCGTCGTCGAGAAAGAAGCAAAAAATCGCTGAGAGCGAAGATGCTGGTGACAATGGAGGTAAAATCATTCCATCGAATCGTGAAGGTAATGGCATGAAAAGAAGTAAATCAAGTGGTGATGTATTCAACTTCATGAACAAAAGTGTTGGTTCACGTGCGGATGTGAACTCACATGACCCTAAAGAAGTCAAAACAGGAAATGATAAAACTGAACAGAAGAGTCAATCTATGAACAGCTATATTTCTCAGATTCACAAGCTGTGTGAAGGAAAATCGCAGCTGCAGTTGAACACAATGTTGATGCAGAAACGAGCTGAGTTAGAACAGAGTACGAGAGGGTAAGCAGATGTTTAAGCTTAGTCTTGTCGTAGCCTGTCAGTATTCTTAAGGTCGATCCTATTTTCCCCAAAAGCGTCATCATAAAAGAATAGTGAAAATCAATGAGTTAAAAGGTAATTTTTTTGAAGTTGGGAAATTGAATAAAATGTCGACTATGTTTGCTTTTAGTCTGCTGAGTCTGCAGAAAAAGGCAGAGTTGAACTGGGCTTCAGTGGCTCATCAGATGCGCGATCAGAAGCGAGAAGTCGATCAGTGCAAGCTACACGTGAACACACTAGAACGCATGGTGGACAAGAAGGCGAAGAGAAAAGAGTTGCATTTCTGAACTAAAGATGATGGTAACTTCTTCAGCTCTGAAACTATTGGGTACAGTTGTGATAGAGCCGTCAATATAATAAATAATTGAATGAAGAGATAAGTATTGTGTAAGAATTGTGTAACATGCAAAACAACAGTGACAATATGTTGTTGCAGAACAAAAATAAATGCTTTAATAGCTTGCGGAGAAAAACTTCTATTTTGCAATCCGATTCGCTCTATGAAACAATTTGAATTGCTTCAAAGTTTCATCTTTTGAATAGCTCGCCTGAAATTTTTTTCGCAAACTCGATGCAATAACTGAAATATTTCAAAATTTCATTGATTCAATGGCTTCGAAAAAATTAAGTTTTTTGCAAACCGGTGCTCTATGGAATAAGTTGACGTATACTTCAAGTTTTCTCGCTTGCCTAGAAAAATTGCTATTTTTGCAAACGGATTTTCTCCAAGTTATAACTTGAAAGTTTAAAACTTCGCTTTAATAGCTTCCTTAGAAAAAAATTAATCTTTTCGCGAACCGACTCGTTCTGTGAAATAACTGTGAAAAGTTTCGTCACTTCAATAGCTTGCTTCAATGTTTTTAATTTTTGCGAAGTAATTCAAGCTATGAAAACAACCTTGATATATTTTCAAGTTTCATCGCTTCAATATCTTGCTTGGGTAAATTTCAATTTCTCGTAACGCAATCCAAGCTATGAACACAAATTCGCGGTAATTCAATTTTCATTGCAACATAGCTTGCTTAGAAAAACTTCTAATTTTTGCGAGCCGATTCGTTCTATGAAATAACCGAAGTTTTCCAAAGTTTCGTTGAAAACTTAAAAGTTCAGCCAATCGATTTTCTCTTTGATTTAACTTGAAGCTTCATCGCTTTGATAGCTTGCTTAGACAAACATTAATTATTGCAAACCGATTCGTATGAAATAACTTGAAATACTTCCAAATTTCATCACTTCAATAGCTTTTGTGAAAGTTTTTTTTTTTTTTGCTATACAATCCAAGCTATGACTACTTCAAACTATTTCAAATTGTCATCGCTTGATTTGCTTGATTAGAAAATCTTTTGGCGAACCAACTTGCTCTTTGAAATAACTGAGCTATTTCGAAGTTTTGTCGATTCAATAGAGCTTGCTTGTAAATTTTAAAGGAAATTGATTACCCTGAAGTTTCTTCAGGCCCCTCTATCACAATCGTAACACTTAGGAGTCTCAGTACTAAGTGGTGAGTTCAAATTTAAAAACGAAAAAAAAAAAAACTCGAAGATTGTATCGAAGAACTTTGCCTGTCAAAGCGATTATCACGATTAACTCCACTAATTGGAAAAACGTGTCATTATTCAGTGCTCGATTTGATTTTTCCCTTCCAGACAAATGTTGCGTTGCCTCACGTTGAGTAAAAAAAACGTAGATCCGAAGGTTGCTATGATAGCTTGAATTTTAAGTCTTTCATGTGCGCCCAGAATTTCTTCAAAACGATTATGCTGGATGGCAAAAATCACGCAGTGTGTTGGATGATTGGTCTGTGCTGTCAAAAGAATGTACTATTGAGCAACGAGCATGTCGGATGAAAATTGCAATGATCACTTTCGATTTTATACAAAAGGAGTTGTAGTGTAGCTTAGCATTTGTATCCATATTTCTTGATAATTGAGCGCTGCAAACTTCGGAATCGAATTTTGACCAAGATTTGATTGTTCACCAAAATTTCCAGAAATCAATAAATGAGAATTGAACCATGGCTATGTCTCTGTTGTGAAATTTCGAGTTCAATTCAGTGTGAAAAAGAAGTAATCTAAATTTACTAACTTGGTTTTTATCGTCTAATCGGCTGGAATATAGCGTTAATTCAGATGCGGATCAAGGGTTTTCTCGCGGGGGGGGGGGGATATTTTTCTGCGTTCACAATTTTTTCATATGCTATTTTGGCTCTTTTTCCTTTTCCTCCTCCTGTAAAATTTTACAATTGGTAAATTTGTTTCTTTTGTCCGATTATTATGAAAATTGGCATGTAGACTATTTAGGCCATGACAAAGTTATTTGGTCTGCTTTGTCCTGTTGGCATGTCTAAATTAAAAGTTTTAGGGCTAAACAAATACATGCGTTCAACTTAATAGCATTAGGTAATAATGCATGTCTCCGTAGCGCAGTGGATAGCGCGCTGGACTTCTAATCCAGAGGTCGTGGGTTCGAATACCACCGGAGATGAGTTTTTTAATTTCACTTAATAATTTATTTTCGGGCGTTTGGCTTTTTCCACTTGCCGAATATTTAAATGTAAGTTTTGAAAAGTTAGTTTAACGTCGCAGTAATGCAATAATTTTGTATAGTGAACAAACTAACTATTGCGTACATATTTGTTGTTCATACTTGACATCATAGGATGACGCATTTAGCCACAAAGCTATAAAACAATGTATAAACGTTGAAACTTGGGAGGAGGGGAGTGGAAACGAGCCAGGAGTTTTTTGCCTCGCAACATCAGATGACAAAAAAACAACCCGATTCCAAAAAAACAATCAGTTTCCAAAAAAATCTAGCAGGATTCCGGTGACTGCAACGAAAAAATGCGGAAAAAATCGATTATTTCCAACTGCTATCGCGATGTTTTGTTCGTGGTGCTTTATAGGGGCTAACAGAAAAGTACCAAAATTTCTTTACATTATGATATCGTGACGTTAATTCTTGAGGATTCTATCGAATGTGCTAGACCCTAACCTCAAGCTTATTTTTTACTCAGTTTCTGCGTTTTCAGATCTGTTATTGCCAATGTTATCTTTCGCGAGCACGAAATTAGTGCACAGTTCGATAGGAGGACAGTTCATGAATATGGAGAGCAGAGAAAGCGAGAAGATCATGCACGGTGGTTCCAGGTGAGAGTAAATTTAACTATTGGAGATAAAATCGTTCGTAGGTCATCGAGTGCGTAGAATGAGTGAGTGGTCTTTTTACTTATTCTGCCCAAAATCATCATTTCAGCATCTTGAACTGAAACTATTTTGCTTCAGTCTTATTGGCTAGAACTAGTCTCTCAAACTTCAGTACCATCTCAAAATGTTTTGTTCTCAATAATTTGGGTCCCAAGAATTTCTCTTAAAGATTCAAATGATAATATTCTGTATCCATCGTTTTTTGAAATTGGTCTTTACACAAGCCCGCTCACGAACATTGCGCTTGAAATTACGGTTGACATTTTTTCCAATCCAACTCGCAAGTAAAAAGACAGTGGCTTTTTTGCTGCACAATACGATGATTCAAATTATCCGGACAAAACGAATAAAATTGGAAATTTTGAATGCGTTTTTCTAGACTTGAAAAGCGTATTTATATAGAGCAATTGAGTTTGCAAAACTCGCGTCAAAAGTTTTTCCTGAAATGGGTTGATCACTTCAAAAATTAGAAATTACGTAGAAACTAATGTAAAATTTAGGCAAATTTCAACCCAATAAGAGAAACGCGTTTAAAATTTCCAATTTTGTTGTGGTCGGATAATTCGAATCAGTTTAATAACACGTTTTGTCACTTAAATAAGCACCTAATGTTTCGGATCTGTAAGCATCAGTGGTACAGGTGAGTTAAGAAGTCTAGTTGGATGCTCGAGAACTGCGTTTCGATTCCCGTAGAGGCATTTTTTTTAAAAATCATGCAGATTTTTTTTCGCTTTTTTGAAATTATCTATGCGTTTGGTTGCTTGATTTTTGCGAAGTCAACTTGGCCTCTATCTTAAAGGCGTGGTTTAGTTTTTTCATTGGCTTTCTTTAAAAAATTTTAATAGCTTTTTATCCGTTTTTCCTAATGGAGCTTTGCCTCATGTGTTATATATGGTGAAAGGTTTATTGTAACTTATTCATCTTATAGGACTGGACTTATTTTCTTATGAACAACTTTTTTGTCCGAGAAAGTTTTATCACGCTCAAATGTGATTTGTCCTGGCTTGGTTTTATTTTGACTTCTAATTAAATTAAACTCAAATTTATTTGCTAAAAAGAAAAATTGCCCTCTACAATCACGAAAATGAAAAAAGCGCGAAATAACATGAATGTAGGCTTACCTATAAAAAATTCCTTAATCGTTTTCTAGTACCTTTTTGACTTTTAGTTACTTGAACGATTTCCAACAATCTGTTGGCTAGATTTTTGTTGATGAGCCGGCTGATTTGGGTACAAAAAGTTGAGGAAAGCTTGAAACGCTACGTGTAAGTTTGAAGTTTAAGTTTGTATTTCATGTTTTGGTTTTTTACCCTTGCGATAATTATGGGCATTGCAACCGGGTACTCTATTTTTTCCCCGTTAATAACTTTGGTCTAAGAATGGTAAATATTTGGAGAGATGGTCGAAATGATAAATTTACAAATATGCAGCTTATGCGGCGTACTTTTTTTTGCCTATATAGGGCTTGCATTGAAGCGAGTAGTTGCAAATCTTTTAATGATTTTATACTGAAATTATTTCAGCTGCTTTTCTACTTATTAAGTGGCGAATTTAACTCTGTCGGGTTATTCGCCTAATGTTTTTTTTATTTGTTTAAAAAATAGTATTTTTTTCTACTTACGATGAATAAGGTGAATACTTTAATTCGACTTCAATTTTTTTAGAATTCTCTTTTCAATAAAACTTTGTTCGGATATTTTCCTCGATGCTTCATAATCGACCTGCTATTCTGATCATATTATTTTCGGCGAAGGTGATAAAATTTTTGCGTTTATTTGCAAATTTCTATGTTTAATTTTCAATCAGTTTTTTCGTCATTTGAATTGTGTGTTGCTTTCTAACCTCTATTTTTGTAGAACGATGAATTCTCTGAACAAGAGACTCAATTTTAGGAGGCCTAATGTGCTGTCAGATCACAAACTACCTTTAAATCGTTTTAATTAATATTTTGCTCGTAATTTTCAGAATTTTTATTTCTAAATGACAAATTTGGTTTGTTTGCGCTATTTGTTTCTTTTACTTTTAATGTTTTTCTCTCCTTCGGTATGATGTTTTTTCTTCTATTTGCAATTCAAGTTTAGGCAGGTTTTTGTGATTTGGGTGTTTCGTTTTTATAACTACCAAAACTAGGTGATAGCTAAAAAAATGAAATGGACGACAGTTTTTTCGTCAGCATTTTTCTTTTGGGTAACTTTTTCGTCTTAGTTTTTTTAGACTTAGTTCAGAGCAGTTTTTTGTCCTAATTCCTCGTGATGTCTGAGAGTTTTTACGTGCTAATCGATAAAATTTCATGGGACATCGAGTTTCTGACAAAAAATCAGAAATTTCAACATTTTCTGCTTTTAAAATCCCACGTTTGGATTCTTAGGACCATTTATCCTGGTGTTGTCTGCATAGTTACCGCTCAGTAAATTTAAATGTTCTTTAAATGCTGGTTGTTGTGTTCCGCCACAGGTTTTCATCAAAATGAGTTTCATTTTGAGACAAACATATAAAAATTTTGGGTGTGTTTGGCGTTTTTTCTATTTTGTCACGATTCGGTGGCTTTAGGTATCGCAAGTGGTGCAAAGCTCAGCTTCGTCTCTTTGTAAAGTAGTTGTAGAGTTTTTAGTTGAGTACACTTATTATCAAATATTTTGTTCAGAGTTCTTATTTAGTTATGGTGATGTGGATAAGAATGGCCAGTTGCACTCAGTGGCCATGGCCGATGAAGACATCGTGGCCTTCACAGTGGACCAGGAGTCAAGTGTATTATGTATGGGTAACTCCTCTTCTCAATCGCTTGAAGCCAGAGTATTGGATGGAAATATCATGCGACAGATTGTGTCTCAATTCGCAAACATCTACTCACTCAGGTAGGCATAATTCACTCATAACGCAAGCGCAGCTTATGTTACGATACGAAGTCAGTGTTTAATCCAAAAAACCCTAATTCTTGGATTCACCCGTAGAATGTGAGAGTGGAATAGTGCGTATACAGCTGGAGGCAGGAGTTCGAGTCCTATTGTCTCCTCTGGGTTATTCTCAAGTCTTTTCTTATAAATTTTAATTAAGATACGCTTAAGTTATGAGCTCAGTCTTTTTTGTTCAACTAAAGTCGCAATAATTGGTGTCCCAATTCTTGTGTTCAATATCAGCATATGTCTTATACGGCGATTCAGTAGCAAATATTAAACGGTTTTATGAAAGCGCCTTCAATACTACCTGTTACTGAGAAGAAAATTACGTGTAGTAGTAGTTTAGGCTTTGGATCATCTGATCCAGGGCTCGCGCCCGTCAGTTTACAATTGAGTGGACTTTCTGAATTAGGTTGCAATGTCCGCAATTGCACAAGAAAGTCCACGATTATATGTTAGCATCCGAGTAGCCTTTGGTAGAGTAATTTCAGTATAACTTTGTGAATAGTGATTTATTCATTTCGGTTTCTGATATTTTTGTGTGCTATGTGATTAAAAGATTGCTAGATCTTAGCCAGAAGTTTTACTCTGCTTTTTTGTGCGTGTATTTGGTAGATTTCTACGTTCTCATATTTCTACTTTTTGTTGCTGTGATTATTTCTGTTTTTGCTCGTATTTGTAGGTCAATGTTATATTTTCTATTTAGAAATTAGAGTCATAGAATGAACAATAACATAGAACGAGGTAAGGTTTCCAGCTTCTCCGGTCTGAACTTGTAATTTTTGCGTCGATCATTCAAGATCCAGTCAGTATCTCCACGTTTTCTAGCTTTTTATTTTCTGTTTTTTTTTGCAGAGCACACTTGGGACGCGTAGCTTATCACCTGTGCAATATAGCCCGCATACGCATTCTTTTTCGTTTTCATGTTAGGGTTGGCAGAGATATTGCGTTTCAGGAAAAAGTGCGTTTTCCAGACTTCGGTGCATCGCTTTTCAGATTTCACCTTCAAGAGTTTGTTTGACATATCACACCCTAGTCATTCTGTTCGTTCTTCACATCAAGTTTTTTCCAATTCAGCTTAGCTTCTTGTTCATTATCTTCTTTTTTGATTGGTTCTTTTTTGTTCTCAATTAGTTTCATCTTGTCTTTGCATCATTTTCTATTTTGTTGATGTCCACTTGAAGGTTTGTCAGATCGGTTGTCAGAATGTTATTGTCATCAGCGTAGCCAAATGATTCACACTGTTCCACTTTTTGGGGCAGGTCGATTGCATAGGTAATAAAAAGTAGAGGTCCAATTTGCGATCCATGGGTTACTGATTTCGGTTGCTTCAAAGCAGATTTCATAAACTGTTACATATTTCCTCCTGTTTATCAGATAATTCAAGTATTTTTCGGAAAATTTGTACTGATTACCCGTATTTTTGATGAGTAGTTTATGAGGGATCTTATTAAATGACTCCTTGAAATCTAATTATTAGACGAACATTTTTTTCTCGTCGTCAAAATGTTTTTGAAGTTGGTTAAGAAATACCAGCATTTGAGTTATCATGTTGCGAGAAGTGCAGACTTTTTTAAAACAATTTGCTTAGTTCAAGGACTTTTGAGATGTCGCAGAGTAAGTTCATTGGTCTGTATTGCTCTGTAAGCTTTGTCATCAATTTTAAAGATGAATGCGACTTCATAGCTTTTCCAAGAGGTAGGGAATGGGGGAATGGACTTTTTGATTTAGCAGTTTGAAAATATTTAGGAGCGACTCCGACAATCGAAAGTTGTTCATGATAAGATTTTCTTTTATTGTTTGGACTACGTGCCTTGTTTTATCTAATTTTTCGATTATTTTCTATCTATTTTTGTCCCGTCTATTGCTATTTTGTTAAGAGATCGCAGAAAACTTTTGTTTTTTTATCGCTTTTCATTGTTCGATTTTTGAAATGCAACGTTTCTGGAAATTTGCTAATTTTTTTGTTTTGTCTTATTACTTTTGGAAGTCGCAGACTTTCTTTCCTTGGAATATTTTTTTTCGAATTCTGTTTGATCGTCTACAAGTGTTTTACGTATTTCGTTTTCCATATTCTTGAGCTTTTTGTAGTTTGATCAGGTTATGTGTTTGTTGTTTTTCGCTTGAAAGTTGCTCGTTTTTTTTTCATGCGTGAAGTTTTGCTTTCTACCTATGGAAGCAATTTTGATCCGAGAGATGTGGTTTTTGACATATTATTATTTAATATCTTCTCGAGCCATTCATATCACTCCCTAGTTCGTCTTCGTTGCTGTCGCAGTATGGTTGAAATGGTCTTTCTACATTGCAGTTGTTGCTATTCGCCTTTACTTAACGGAAACGATTGTCTCATTGTCTCTGTTTTTTACTTTCGCATTGTAATGATACGATGTATGCTTGATGATCCGAGCTATACGATGTTTGAATTTCGTTGTTTTTATTTGTCTTGATAATTGTTTGGATTTATTGCAAGGAAAGTTTCGAGTTGCTTTTTGCATTTTGCTCTAGCACCTCGGTAAAGTTCAACTCCGATAATTTCGCTAATATATCGTTTTCGTAATCGTTGTTTGATACGAGACCTCTTAATTTAGCTTAATCGAAATTAACATAACCAATGATGACTATTGCATTGCAGTTATCTTGTTTTGCCTTTTCGTGGAGCCAGTCAAATAATTTAAAAACTCGTGGTCTTTCCATATGTACGGGCTTGTTTTAGATGGGTTGTTCGGACTGGATTGTGGAAGAAATATCTAAAGCTGTCAGTCGTTCAGTATTATTATCTTCGATTTGGTTGCCGCAAAAAGTGGGTCCGAGTTCAGCCGTAGTAAATTTTTTTCGACGTGGAGTTTTTAATCTCATAATACCTATTTACACATGTTTTCTTGTTTTTAGAGTTCTTTTGCTGTTTTTCAATTTGTTCGTTAGTTTGTAATTTCGAATTCAAGAAAAGCTATTTAAATAGACCAAAGTTTCTCCATTACTCTAAAGGAATCGTTCTTGGTAACATCCTCATTCTTAGTATCTAGATATGCGACGTGGTCAAGTATTTTTTGAAGAAATCACAGGAAAAGGCCCAAGTTATGATTGACAAAAGGTGGAAACGGTTTTACTTGATTGATGCCCGCCTGCCCGTATGGTATATGTAAATAAAAATCAAGACATCATTGAATATTGTTAAAACAAATGATTTTTTACATAAACAGGTTCTGTGGTTTAATTTTGCTTTTCTTTAGGAAATTAAGAGCATTTTTTGAACTTTTTGTTCCTCATTTTCAACTCGAAAAACTCAATAGCATTAACCGAGTGCAAGGTAAAGTACGAATTTTTTCAACTTAAATTGGTTTTTTATGCCCACTTGCGAGAACAAGGGTTTTATAGTCGGGAAATACTTTTTTTCTATAATTTAATTTTTTTTACAAGTGTGTAAGAACTAGTCTTTTCTATGAGCGCGTCTCCATAGATAGCATATTTTCAGCATTTTTGCTTCTCAAGTTTTCCTGTTATTTACACGTACGAGCTTGCGAGCGTTACTTTATTAGTACGAACTTTCTTTTTTTCTAATATTACTCTCAAAAAAAAGTTTTCATTGAAAGTGTTCACTGAAATGTAAAGTTTACTGGAGCATTGGAAATTGCATAGAATCTGTCTCTGCTTTGTTTGTGGATAGTGTTTGCTAGCAATGAAGCGTCCGTGGCTGAGTGGTTAGTGCATGAGACACATAGTTTTTGGGTCGGAGTAGGTCGTAGGTTTGAATCCGAGACGTAGCCGATTTTCACTATTTTGATGCTTATTTATTTTTTTTTGCAATTCATAGAGCTGCTTTTTGTCGTGTTCTCGCTAGTGCTTGCGAGGAGCAGCTTCGCCTCTGTGTCGATATTTGAGTTACAACAGAGTGACGTCATCGACATATTTTGAGCATGTCTGCATTTTAGATGTTTTTTTTAATTTGAAATTTTTGTTGGTTATTTGCAAACCAACGTCGACTTTTTATGATGTTCCTTTTGTGTGTGCTGGGTTATGAAAATTTTTGGACTCTTTCGGCTCGACGGGCATCTACTCAAGTTTTGTTGGCTTAGTTACTGATTTGTAAGTTTTATTTCAACGCTGATTTACTGCTAGCATTGATCTTACTCGTCACAAAATTTGAAATTTTTGATAGATCTGATTTTCGGTATGTTTTTTTTCTCGAACAATTTCGTCTAACTTTTCTGTCGGTTAGCTTGCCATGCTATTTTCGTGAGTTATCGCTAGTGATGCATCTCTTTGCTTTCCTTATAGCGCCAACAGCTATGAACTAGAATTGAATGCTTTTTCACTTACGAACTTCATTTAACAAATTAACTTATCCAAGCAGATATCTTCAATAGTTTTCTCTCGTCTAATTAGCTTTCTGAGAAGCCTTTTTGTTTGAAGTTTTTCTGTTAATGCATGCGAGTTTGTCTACACACTTTTCACCCCTCTTGAATTTATTGGCACATATCGCCTCTCGCCTCTCACAAATTGTCTTACACACTTAATAAATGTGGGCCGAAATGGATGAGGTGCCACTAAATTACGACTGGCGAAACGTGCCACAGTCATGCGAGTTAGTGAGCCTGGCTCAAAATTTTGAGGCATCAATGTTAATTTCAGATTCTTTGGATGCTCCGGTGGTATTTGTATACCAAAACGGTCTTGCCAACAATTTTTTAATTAATATGTTCATTTTTTCAAAACTGGAAATTCAACAATAAACAACACGATAATCCCGGAAAAATGCGTAGACCTCTTGTTAATTTGTGACGTTAACAATTAAAACTGTCTTGGCGCTCGGAATTCAGCGGGGAATTTTTTTACATCAAAAATTATTGTTTTTTTTTTGTGTTTTTTCTTTTCACTAACTAGTTAAAAACTAAGAAATAACAAAAAAAAATCGGTTTGTAGGCTTCGGTATTTAATGATCATTTTCTTTTGATTGTGTCAATGGTTATCAGTTTTAAGACGCTAGCAACCAAGAATACAAATGTTTTTGCGTGTTTCAGGTGCACGGTCACAAACGCGTCCCGACAAAACTCTCTTAAGTTCAGTCAAAGATACAGAAGTGTTTTGAAATCGGTCATCGATACGAATTCAGACAATGAACAAGAAGAACAGAAAGGAGAAAAATCATCTGAAAAAGAGGCAAAAGAAAGAGAAGAGAGAAACATGTCAGAAGCGATACGAAATTCTCTTTCAGTCGTGGATCTAGTTTGGTCGCTTGCTGAGTCTTTGTATTTCAACGAGTCGCCTTTCGTAGTCAAAAACTTAATCGATTGGATCCAACAACACACGTCAACCGATCCAAACATGCTTAAAGCAGCACTCAAGTGCAAATTTCATGACTCTAAAAGTTCTAGAAACTTCTGGAATATTCTCTTTAAGCTTCTGACACAGGGATTCTTCAGAGAAGCTATAGCGCTCTTGAATGTTTTGAGTGACTTTTTCCACGAAAAGTACAATTCGGGCGCTGATTTGATAGGGATAGGAAATTTCGGAATGGGCGATCAAAGAGATTCTGATAAAAGCTGTACTCAATGGAAGCTAGTTCAAGATATAATTATGCTTCTCAAGCAAAATCCGATCTCAAGTTGCAGTCAATACTCGACTGTTGAACTTAATTCGTTTGCAGCTATGTGGAGAAATTCTTTCCAAGAGCTGAAAGTAATCGCGGAGGCGTGTGATGAACCTGAATTGACCTTAGTTTGTGGATTATGTGCGGGCGAGAGATCAGTGCTGAACAAGATAATGAAAGATGATGGCGCGGGCGAATCTTCAATTGGCGTTGTTTTCGAAAGATGGTTCGAATGTATAATCGCGTTTGCGATCTTCATTATGCCGAGTATGAGCAAACATGACTTGGCAAAAGTGTTGCCGTCAATAATGCAAAGCTCGGCCATTGAAAGCCCACTTGATCACGTAATTCACGCTTTGTTCACGGCTGATAACCTGAAAATAGTGTACCATATTTGCACGGTGTTTCCTGAAACGTGCACCGCTATGCACTTAGTTGACCTTTTCTACTACTCTGGGTATAAATTAAGTGATCCAGGGTCAAATGAAAAAGAACTCAAGGAAGACTTTCTGACATTTCTCACCAAAGATTACGGGACGAAACTCATGTTGCATAGTAGCTTATGGCCTTTTGCCTTCACTTATTTAATGCAATTAGACCGAAATCAAGATAATTTGGAAGTTTCTAGAAGGAGTTCTTCTTTCTACGATAAGAATCAAATTGGAAGTAGTATGCTTTATGAATTAATAGAACGAATTGAACCAATAAACGATCAGCAAGCTGTAAGTCTAATCAGCATGTGTCTGAAATATGGATTGCAAGATAGCGTCTACTCAATTAACCGAAAACGCGCTGTTGCTTATTTGAATTGCAACAATTTGCTTAATGCTAGTCAGTGGACGGTAAGATGTTTGGACCTTGAGATTGCGACAAAACTTGCACACGAATGTTTGAAACTGTATTTGGAAACTAGAGATATAGACTCCATTGCGGGTATTTTGGAAAACCTGTCTAGGGTTGCAAAAGTGAAGTTGGGCACTATAGGAAAACAAAGCGAAGGTTCTCTTCTTAACATGGTCTGCATGTTCTACGAGTATCTCAAGTGTAAAACAGTCGAAGCTGATTTCAAAAGAGCGGCAAGTCTTCTGATGTCTTTGATCAGGTGTCCGAATATACCCGAGGTGTTGCAGCTGAGTCTTTTACTCGACAGCTGTGATTTTGTGTCGCTCAACTTGATAAACTCCAGTGACGATATTTTTGCTCTGAAAGTGGCGATGGAAAACTTTCATCCAAACAGTAGTAAAATGACTGTTGAAATGAATGAAAAGACGACCAAAGAACTTACGATATTGTTGAGTTTGCTTCAATGTTAATTTATTTTTTGTGTTTTTGCTTGTCCTGAAAGTTTTTCAAAATTAACTGTTTTGTTCAGTTTTTGAATCGTTTCTGAAAAGCCATTAATGTGGAAATATGATAATACTCTAGAAATGCATAGGAGTCCTGCAGAGATTTTCTCATTTGGCAAAGAAGCGCCCTTTTCTCAACGTTCCGCGAACGCTTTGAAGACTTTTTTTGTTTAGTGGGTGTTTTTACATTTTTCTCCACGAAAAGTGCAAGATGTTCGCTGTAAAATTTGATTTCACGCGTGTTGGTTTTGATTTGATTTTCAGCTCAATTCATAGTCGTTTGCTAAATGGAAGTTGAATTCCCCTCTTCATATAAAAGTGCAAATGGCTCTGCTGTGACCAGTATGGCTGAAAATGACATAGGGGTATGCTATTAATCTAATATAAAAAAAGTTCTATCTGAAGACCTGCCAGTTGACTTTTTCGACCAATAGCTTGTCTGGAGTTTGCCGAAACAAAATGTGAATTTGATATATTATTGTTGAACTATATACAGTGCTGATTTAAATTATCCGGACAAAACGAACAAAACTTGAATTTTCAAACGCGTTTTTCTCAAATTGGGTTAAGATTAGACAAAAATAGAAGAGAACAAAAGTTGCTTAGAATTTCACCAGAATTAAAATGGTGCCATTTTTTCTTCGAAATTCTCAACAAAAACTTTACCCCAAAAATGGGTCATTTTGGCTTTTTTCCTTTAATCAAAAATTACGCGCAAACTACTTTGTTAATTGATAAGAAAATTATATCACAGGAAGCCTCTTACACAGTTCAACAAAGTTTAAGAAGGGTTAAATCTCCAAAAATCTGTATAAGAGGAAAATTTTTCACTTGATAGTCAATAAATGTGACTTTTACTATATAAAACCCAGAATCTCTGTTTAAAAATAATTTTTAAACAATTTGCGCAAATTTTTTGGAGATTTAACCCTTCTTAAACTTTGTTGAACTGCGTAAGATGCTTCCTGTGATATAATTTTCTCATCAATTAACAAAGTAGTTTCCGCGTAATTTTTGATTAAAGGAAAAAAGTCAAAATGACCCATTTTTGGGGTAAAGTTTTTGTTGAGAATTTCGAAGAAAAAATGGCACCATTTTAATTCTGGTGAAATTCTAAGCAACTTTTGTTCTCTTCACTTTTTGTCTAATTTTAACCCAATTTGAGAAAAACGCGTTTGAAAATTCACGTTTTGGTTCGATTTGTCCGGATAATTTAAATCAGCACTGTAGTTGCCTTCTAAATTGAACATTACATCCGTTTTCATACCTACATCATGGCGCAACCAGCAAGATGAAAGTGAGGGCTGAACCACTGAACATCGTATCGTTTTGGGGTTCACGGACACCGAAGCCGCCTGCATACTGGGAAGAGTGGAATATTAAGTTCCACGGGTATGATTGCCAAGACAAGTATGACAGCGATCCAGATGACTTCTACTTTGCAGCTACGCTAAACGCGACAGCCAAGCGGCATTGCTGGCAGATGTCAACGGAAAGAACCGCGTCGAATCAGCAAAGAAGCTGAATTCAATCCTGTATTTATGTATCGGAGACGAAGCGCAGCGGATCTTCGAAGCTCGGAAACCTGGGGTAAATTTTATGATCGAGAGGTACCCTAGTTAAAGACGGAGCGGTTTTGCATTTTGATCCGAAAAATTGCGAACGGCCGAGTGACCCGTGGCCTAAGGAAAACCAGGCATAATCTCCCAAAACGCGAACATAACAGGCCCATCGACCAAGTAACCCGTGGCCCAAGGAAAACCAGGCATAAATTCCCAAAACGCGAACATAACAGGCCTATCAAAGGTACAAACCCAAAGACTCCTGATCGGAGTGAAAAAGCCGAAACGGAAACTTCGGAAAAAAAGCAGAGCGCTACGGAAAACGAACAGACGAAGAAAAGAAGACTCGAGCAGTTAAAAAAAAACAGCGAAAAAAATGTAATCGAACCGGAAAGCGACCCGAAAGCAAGCGAGACGGCGAAAGTGAGCGAAGCAAACGATAATGCGGGAACATCCGGAACCCTAGGATCAGCGGGCGTGCAACCTAAGGTGTCGTCAAGACGATCGATGCACCTAAAGAGGGGCGTTACTAAAATGGGCTGAGTGATGATCTGGAACATCGGGGAAAAGAACTTAACTATTTTCAAAATTCGAAAAGGCCCACGGAGAGGGGCCGGCGTCAAAAGCCAAAAAACTCAATAACAACAAATTCACATAAACTAAGTGATACAAGTAAAAGTATTTATATATAGCAATATCTACGTACAGAATGAATGTAAACGGATAGTGTTTACAGGCGGTTGATTTACTTATAAATTTTAAGCCTTCGGGTTACGTTTATTGCGGTTGTCCCCATGACATAGGGGTATGTTATAAATCATTGTTAAGTCATTGAGTTCTATCTGAAGACCTGCAAGTTAACCTTTTAGACCTCTAGTTTGTCTGGAGTCAACTGAAATAAAATGTGCTGTTGAAATATTATTGTTGAACCATATAGTTGCCTTCTAAACTGAACATTATATCGTATCCGGTTTCACACCTACATCAAAAGTAGTGTTATCCAAGCAGGATTAGTGGTAAATGCGGCTGCTTCTTGACTTTTGTTTTGCAAATTTAGCTTCGACTCTGTGTTAAAAAGTATAAATCGTTGAAAATCCGAGAGCTATAGTCAAAACTACTTAAAAAATTTTCACACATTTTTAAAAAAATATATGTATATTTTTTGGTTTTGATGATTTTAAATTTTTTCTAACGTACTGACTCATGTTTGATTTGAAAATTTTCAGTTTTAGTTCAAAGTGGTTAATACTTTTGATTTTAGGAACTGTTGATTTTGATTAAGTTCTGTTTTCTTTTTTTTTCGTTTTTTTCACATTTAAATGTTTGAATATTTTGAATAGTTTTTTGTAATTCTTCAAGAGGGCAAGTTTTGAAACTTATTATTTTGAAAGTAATTTTGACTTTTTTATGGTATTGTTTTCTTTTCTGCTGAATTGTGGTCTGCCCAAGTTTCACCGGCTTAATGGTAAGCGATACTAAATGCTTATTTAATGCTGGCGATTTTTTGTGCGTCTGTGTTTTCCTGAACTTGAAGATCGATCAAGAAAACGGTTTTAAAATTTTTTGTCAAATATTAACTCTGTGACAAAAACAACAGGTTTTTTTTTCGAGCATGTTAGCTTATTAAACACCAATCTTTTCGGTTTTGTCTTTTGTTGGTTAATTTATCCAATTCGGTTGCTGTTAATTTAGTTTTTTTTGCTTATTCGGTTTAAAAGTGGCTTCGGCTTATATTATATCCACTTCGTCGCTCATTTTGCTTCGTATGATGAGCAAAAATTTTTATTTCGAATTTCTAAGTTTCCATCTTACGACAGTGTTATGACAAACTCTGCCTAAGCTGAACAGGCGTCTACCCAAGCTTTTCCTCAAACTTGAGAATAATGGAGACATACGTATGAAATTTTGTAGGCAGGCATAGTTTTCGATTTTTTTTTTCCGAGCTCTGTTTTAAAACGTCTTAAACGTATAAAAATATTTTGATCCTTTTTTTATATAATAACAAGCAGTGTAATTAAATGCTTCAGGTTGAATGTAGAATGAGCTCAAAGCTGATAGTGAAGAACCTTCCCAAATCCGCATCAGAAGAGAGTATACGCAAGGCCTTCGAAGTCTACTCGACTGTTACGGATCTGAAACTGAAGAAGAATGCGGAAGGAGAGTCGCGTGGCTTTGCATTTGTAGGCCTCAACTCACCTGAAGATGCAGAATTGTGCATGAAGAAGCTGAACAGAAGCTTCATTAAAGGTAGGCGTGCATGCGAAAGATTATCATATCACCGAGGTAGTGCGTGAAATGTTTCGTACTTGATACTGACTTGTTAGCAAATCATTTTTTTTCCAGTTTTTTATAGCTGTATTGCAATTTCATTGCTGTACATGCATACATATCAGCGCTGAAGTAAAATCGAAGCTAAGGATTTATATGCAGGCGGTTATATTTTAAGCATATGAAAGCTATTGATAATCATAATAATAAATTGTTTCCAAACGATATCTAGTTACAGAGTTATTTATAAAAATTTATAAATACAAATTGGAATAGTTTGGGAGAACACCATTAAGACAGCACGGCCCGTTTTCAGGTGTCTCATTAAGCGGAGAACAAAAAAATTAGTTAACTTCTTCGATCCAATGCAATGGACCTTCTATCGGTGAACATTTATTAAACGTAAAACCTCTTAATTCGCACCTTTAAACCATTCTCTATATAAAATTAATTTTATTTTTCAATTTTTTCTTGTCTAACCAATCATTTTCTTCAAGCAAAGCCGATTGATGTGCGAGAGCAATGTAGTCTTTGTTTTTTTTGTGGATTTCAGAACAGTGTCATCAGCATACAAAAGTACCCCTGTGTTTTTTGTGGCTATTTCAAGATAATTTTTGTAAAGTATGAATAAAAAGGGCAAAGGATAGATCCATGAGGTACACCAAAAGATACCAGTTTAAGTTCGGTCTTAAAAGCTTAAAAGAGTTTGTTTCGATGTACTGATAGCGATTGTCAAGATAAGATTCCAAGAGTTTTAAGGCAGGCCCTCTGAATCCCATATTTTCCAATTTTATTAACAGATTGGAGATTGGAGTGATCAACAGTGTCAAAAGCCTTTGTTATGTCTAAAAAAGTATTCCGAACAGTTAGTTTTTTGTTCGATAGCGACGTTAAAACTTCTTTCCACAATGTAAGGATGGCGTCAACAGTGCTCCTTTTTGATCTGAAGCCAAACTAATTGTTTCGGATGATATTAAACTTGTCTACATATGATTGGGCTCGTCTGAGAATTAGATGCTCAAAAATTTTTCTCAATGGAAGAAGCGAAATTGGTCTATAGTCTGAGGGTTTATCGATATTTCCTTCCTTGAAAATGGGTATAATTTTTGCAATTTGTAAACATTTTGGGTAGATTCCTGAGGTTAGGCAGTCCTTAAAAATTTCAGTCAAAGGGCTAATATAGTTTTTAAATGCTTGGCGAGAACAGTGTTGATATCATAGCAATCTGTACTATATTTAATTTTTAGTCTTTCGATGACTTCAATGACTTAATTAAATCATTTTTTTTTCTCAAAATTCACGATTGCTGCTGACGGATAACATTATTTTCCATGCAAGTTGGTTTGCTTTGTGAAAGTCTGGCGCCAATATTTGCGAAGTATTCGTTAAAATGCTCAGCGTCCTCCTTAGATAGATTAAGTGACTTTGAATTTTTCCCTTTACCTCTCATTTCCTTAAGTTTTGAAAAAAATTTTCGTTTTAGAATTAGACTCAAGCATTAATTTATTTTGATAGTTTTTTCGTTTATTAGTCTTTGATGCTCTGAGCTCAAATTCAAAAAGATATTTCAACTGCGATTGTTTTTCCTTAATTAGGGTGTTTGAAAACTGCTCACTTGGGACTTCCAGAAACAAAAACGTTTCTAGCGCAAAACGAACCCGGGCCTATCTTTCTTGAGTATGACATGTAAGCCAATGTACCACCCAGTGTTCGAAATGCGCAAGACACGAATTTTTCAACCAACGGATAGTTCTTGATAATTTAGAAATATTTTTCAGACAAGTTTTTTTGCTCTTTGAGAAGTTCAAGTTTTTTTTTGCTTGGGTTTGAGAAATGCATTCGCCTTAACGTAATTTATTCTTTCTACGAAGACAACAATGATTCGGACTGGGGTGGTGGAACGAATCCAGCTCTGAAATCATTCAACACTAAATTGAAATGAGCTAATTCTACAAACGAAGCGGTACTGGTCGAAAAAGATCAGTGAATGCACAAGCAAGCTAGCGAACGTATAGTTATATTACGAATATATTTTTTTCCATCCCGATGCGCAAACAAAAAGTCTCATTTGGGGACACTTTTACGGCATAGCATTGGCAATTTAGTAGCATCTGATCTATCAACTTACTTGGTGGCTAATTTTTGCAGATTCTCAAGCTACAATGATGTGAGTTTGTGAGATTTGCAATCTCCAGGTCCTCGTTTCGTTTCCGGCACACGAATGGTTTTTTTTTCAAGGGTAATTTAGCCGTATTTTCTTAATTCAGATTTTACTTTTTGGCAGCTACTTTTGCCGTTTTCACGCCTATGTCTGCAAAGTGAAGCTTCGACTCTGTATTGCACTAGTCCACGGGGCGAAATAAAAAACTACCTAATAACAACGCTTGTTTGCTCTGGCTATTTTTACTTTTGTTATCTAAATGCCCTATGATTTCTTCTAAGTGTTAACCATTACACTTGCGAGAGCAAGAGTCTTGTAATCAGGAACAAGACATTTTCCCGTCAATTACTTTCCGTAAGAATCTTAGTTGCTTTTTTACTGCTTTATTTTTGAAACTTAACAACTCTCACGCTCGTTCTGTTCTCACTTTGCCGCCGAGATAATGTAGTCTCCTTTGCACCCTAAATCTGTGGTTCGAGTCCCGGCCGAACCTTGTTTTTAAGTATGTATCAAAATGAAATGTTTCCTGTAAAAATTGAATTGTCGAACTTTCGTCGGCTCAGTTGCCACATAAAAGATTTTTCTTTTGCTGTAAGCAGTTTTCATTATAGTTGCAAGTGTTGTTCAATTTCGTTTTTTTTTTTGGGGGGGGGGGGACTTAAGGGGATACTGACGTCTGCTCGAAGATTTTCGTCTTTGCTTCCGCTTCATAAGTTGGGTTCCGTTGCTAATTTGATATTAAAATGTTTCGCTTGGCATGTTTGCCTAGAATGACCTTCAGGGAGATACAAAAGTTTTGTGGACCTAGTTTTCTTTCAACATTTTTTACTTATATTTTTTTAATGCTTGTTTTGTATCGCAAGTGATGCGAAGCAGGGCTTCGCCTCTGTGTAATTTTTATGTCCTTTAATAGTTTGTTGAATTTTTGTCAGAAAACCTCGTTTTCGTAAATTTACCGATACTCTCTCGTTTTGGGCGCAGTCCATCACAAGAAATATTTAACGATGTCGGACTTTATGTGGTTTGATAGAAGATATTGTGTAAGCTGTGGCTATTTTTCTGATGCAGCGACTAAGGCGCTGCATCATGCCAATTTTCTCATTGTTATAAAGACTGTTTATTTTTTTGCCAAAATATGTCAGATAAATAACTTGACATTCATGTGTCGGGCGGTGTGGGTCTATAAGGCTAATTATGTGCCAAAAATTATCAAAAAAATCAGGTTGTCGATTATTGAAGCGTTCTTTAAACTGATGAGCTGCATCCTTTCAGCGTTGGGGCAATGTCGATCCTGAAGAATTTGAATCGAGTCTTTCATCCGCTACGGCATGACCGCTTTGCTTCTTAAACCTCACTTTTGTAAAGATAACATGAACCGATTTTATTTTGGTATAAAATTGAAGGTTAGATTATTTGAGCTTAATAAGTTTTCTGAATCTTGATTTGTTTTCTAGCTTGAAGGTTTCTTCCGGGGTCTTAAAATTTAACATCTGGTTATAAGGATTTTTGTTCTTTCAATTTTGAAGAAAGCAAAATAGTTTATTTATAGTAAATAGTTATCCCGCCTATGGAGATTCTAGAGGTGTTGTACTGACCATGGGTAGAAACTTTGTCTTCGGGTATTTTAATAAGGTACCACAATTAATCATCGGAATGGTTTGAGTGATATATTATTTCACTCCTGATTCGAACAACATTTTTACCCTTTCGGTACTTGACTTTTTCCCGTAAACAACTTTGTCCACAGGATGACTAAATTTTGGTCAACTCCGAATCTCTTTTCTACCCAACTTGCATGTCTAGCAGCTCTAATTCAACAGCTAGTTTCAACGACTGAATTGATAGTTTTACAGCTGAAAAAAATTTTAGAGGTAAGTTGATTTTGTTTGTCGGCTTTGTTGATTTCGACCCAATTTCTGTCGGCTTACTTGCCGGGTAATTAATTCTGTAGTTTTTTGATGGATTTTATGAGTACTTTTTTCTTCATTTTTTGGGGGTAAATATAGTTCATAGTTTTCTGGTTTTTATAGGCAAATTTTCTACTACTACTACTGCTAGAAATAAAAAATTTTCTGCTGGGTTTTTTTTCCAGTTAAATCTCGCAAGATTGCAAGACTTTTTGCAAGATTGACTTGACTGTTTTGTCTACAAAGGAACGTGGCGGTAAGTTCTGCTCCAGTGTGGTTCTTTTTGGCTGAAATTTTTGAATTTTATTTTTTTTGTGTTTTGTTTATTTCCTTTGTTGGCGTTTTTGTAATGTTGTTTTTTTGTTGGTGTGATCTAGCTCTCTGACCATTGCGAATAAATTCATAATTCTTGATGTAATTGGTTTATTTTCATAGGTTTTCAGAGTTTTTCTCAGATTTTCGGCAAGTTCTTTTCTGTGGCAATTGTTAGTAATTTTTCCATTCATGTTTTTGAAATTTTGTTTGTCGTTTTCTTTATCTTACACTATAGCATTTACTGCATAGGGCCTTTCACCCCTGATTGTTTTTGTTGGATAGGCAGATTGTTTGGTTGCAAGATGTAATGAACACTTTTCGAGTACATTTTGGATTTTTTGTATCTCAATTTTTTGATCGAAATGTTTTCTACCATTCTATCGTTTTCATCTATTATGTGTCAGAAAGAAATGGATAGAGTTAAGCCCAAACCCCTCTTCTGTTTTGAAGGTAAATATTTTCTATAACATTTGCAATTAAATTTTTCTTGATTTTTTTAGCCTACGATTTCTTCAATAAAATTCATTCAAAGTTGTTCAAGTTTTTGGAGCTTTATTGTGTATCGCAAGTGGTGCAAAGCTCAGCTTCGCTTCTGTGTAAAAATTTTCAAAAGTTGTTCCACTGTCAAGATAAATGGGTTTGGTCTACTTTCGAGCAAAAAAAAGATAGCAAGCAGGCTTATCATAGAAGGATGAGCAATGAAACTTTTATTCATGCCCTGAAAACTTTTGAGCGAGAACAGCGATCAATTAACGTTGATTTTATGGAAATTGCTTGTATAAGCTGAAAGAACTTGTTGATTTTTGTAAGAAAGATCTGGTTTTGGGAGCTTCATAAAGCGCTTTCTCGGCAATAAAAAGTTTTTAAAAAATTAAAAAATATATTTGTTCCATTTTTTGTTTGTTATTGATTTTTCGACAACATTTGTTGTCGTTTATGCGCAATTGACTAAAGTTCTATGCGTTTATATAGTTCTGTCATCACAACACGCACTAAAACGACACTAGTTTAAAAATATTTTTTTATATGATATGTGGTCTGCTGATTACAACTTAAGTTTATCTTGTGTTTAAAGGTAGTCGAGTAACAGTTGAACTAGCCCGAAAAGCAACTGAAAGAAACCCAAATGAAATCAAATCAACAGAAAGCACAGATATCAGTAATGCGAATGAACAAACTAAAACAACAGATCTCAACTTTCTGGGCAGCAAAATGACATCTGATGACAAAGTTGCACAGCCAAGTTTATACAAAGTTAGAATTACAAAATTTCCAAAAAGCTGGAACAAAACGAAGTTCCTGAAATTTATGGGAAGTGATTTTAAATGCAGCACTTGTCACATGTTCAAGCAGCGAGATGTACCAAAGTTTTTGGTGACGACTGAAAGTTGGGATAGTTTGCAATTGCTCCTTCAGAAAAACGGAACAGAAGTTGAAGATGAAAGCACAAAATTGAAAGTGGTACAAATAAACGAGAATGCTGGGTTGGAATCTTGTTCAGAACAGAAACAGGTGCTCATTTAGAAACAATAATCTTTCTTTTTTGTTACATGTGACTTTAAATAATTATCTTTACTGCTGTAATGCTTTTTTAAAGTGAAACGTGTAGTTGGACCATGGTGAGTTAAGTTTAAAACGCTATAATTTGAGAAATCTTAGTTTTAAAGCAATTCTAAATGAGTACACAAAAGGAGACGCAAAAACTGAACGAAAGCGACGAAATTATGGATACTGGGAGACTCTTCGTAAGAAATCTCTCATATACAGTAACCGAAGAAGAATTGGAAGACATTTTCCGAAAGTACGGCGAAGTAGTCGAATCTTCCATTCCGATAGACTACGTGAGTCACAGGTCAAAAGGATTCGGCTATGTTACTTTTCTGCTTCCCGAGCATGCTTTGAAAGCATACGCTTCTATGAACGGAACTAGTTTGAAAGGCAGAACTGTTCATATTATGCCCGCTAAAGAAGCGCCAACTAAGCCGAAAGCAGAAGTTGCAGACAAGGAGTTCAAAACTACTTACCAGAAGAAAAAACAAGAAGAAATGAAAAGTACAGGTACAAAAAGCTACAACTGGAACTCGCTTTTTATCGGTGCAAACACAGTTGCAGACTCGCTTTCGAATAGATATGGAGTCAGAAAACAGGAAATTTTGACAGCTTCAGGAAAAGGCGAAAGTTTACCTGTAAGAATCGCTTTAGGAGAAACAAAATTAGTCAATGAAACGAAACAGTTTTTGATCGACCATGGAGTGAATTTAGACGCGTTTAACCAAAAGACTGTAAAAAGAAGCAAAACAGTGATTTTAGCTAAAAATTTACCTGTGGGCACTTCTAAAGAAGAATTGGAGACCCTGTTTACTAAAAATGCGCCGATTGACAGATTAGTGATGCCCCCAACTGGCTTGAGTGCATTGGTTACTTTCAAGACTCAAAATGACGCAAAGAGAGCCTTCGTTAATCTGGCTTACACGAAGTTCAAGGGTTCAATTTTGTACTTGGAGTGGGCGCCGACAGGTGATGTCCAGTTGAAACTTTACTTAAACTGTTTTTTTTCCATTTCCAGGTACCTTTTTTTACTGAACATAATTTTATTATTATAACGCCAAAATTTGTACAATGCACTAGAACAGATAAGGATTAAGGATGAGGGATTATTGGCGGTTGACTTCTCGCCATTTTCGATATCACATGTTAAAAACCACTTTTTTGCAATGTTTGTGCCATATGAATTTCGCTCATCAACCCGACGACTTGTGTAACGCATAGAGATATACCGGATTTGCATATTAGTAACGCAGCTCTAGTAACGCATGTTAGGCGAGGGCCTTAGGTTTTACTAAATACTCAATTTTTATTCGAACTTGCTTTTTCAGGTATCATAAGTAAAATCAGTGAACAGTTTTTGTTTCTCTATTAAATATTAGCCTCTATTTTTTTTTACAAACCAGAAGGATGAGCAATAAATATAGACATCACCATTGTATTTAGATTGTTTTGTCGAAAATTCATCAAAGTCTTATAGACCGACAACAAATATGACGGCAGGCGATAGTTCAAATTCTAAAGAAATAAATGGCAAAGATTTTTTGGAACTTGAACCGAAGAACGTGCCAGAAGCAGCAAACGAAGAGAACAACTCGAATCAAAACCAGGCGATAACAGAAGACAATGCTTGCGTGTTTGTGAAAAATCTCTCATTTGAAACTGATGAGCAAAAAATGAAACAAGCTTTTTCTAAATTTGAGTCCAAAATTGACTCTGTGTTCTTGGCCAGATATCAAAAAGGCGGCAGAGATTTATCGAGGGGTTATGGGTTTGTCCAGTTTAAGAACCACGATGCTGCAATGGAGGCTATCAAACTCATGCAAGGAACAAAGGTAATACTAAGTTATAATTTATAGTTGAAAAGTATTTAGTTCTCTCCCAAGCCGAAGCAATCAGGAACCACAAATAAAATATTAGATGGGATCGAATTTAGTATCATATTATCGCTCTTTCAGTAGTGATTTGGATTCTAACAGGATATTTCAAAAAACTCTGTCTGTGTCGAGAAAATATTTTTGTCCTGAATATTCCAGTGTTATTAATTGTCAATTAACGAAGTGAAAACACATTTAGGTAGGTTATTGTACAAAACAAGTCTGAAAATTTCTGTTAGTTGAAATTTGATGTTTCGCGATTTGAGTTTTGATCTTGATGTGAAAGAATGAAGTGGTCTTGAATGATTTTCTTAAAATTCTAGATGATTTTTGTTCCGACCATTGAAAATCGGGAGGAACTTTGTTTTCGGGTGTTTTAGTTTTTTCTTCTTTTTGTTTTCCACACAAAATCAGGTACCACAAATGCTCATCGGACTGGCTTGAGTGATGTATCATATTGAAGCCCTGTCAATGAGATTGTGAGAACCAAAAAATTCAGAAAAATTCAAACATTTTCTGCAAACTAAATTGAAAAAAAATATGAAATTTTTTTGTATTTTTTTTTTCATTTTTTTTGTTTTTAGTCATTTTTCTACAAAATGTTTTGCCCAATTCGACTATATTACTATGACAGTCGAAGATGCCTAAATTATAGCTTTATATCAGATCATTTTATCGCACCTCGCAGAAAAAAATACACTAATTTGAAACTTTTAGATTTTTCTCGAAAACTACCCTTCCAAATCTGATGTTTTGGTTTCAATGGGTAGAACAGGTTGTTGGTGTTTCGCTTTCATAAGCGGTTACGCCTAATTTTTTAACACAAAAAGTTATGGCTCTCGAAAATTCAAATTTTTGATTTTTTACCATTTTTTACATAATCGAAGCGAAGTGTATTATTACGAACGTACTTTTTTTCCAACCTAAGTCGCAAATAAAAATGCTTATTAGTCAGTGGCACTTTTGGTGTACTTCAATTTCATGATATTTAAGCGTATTCAAGCATATAATAGCATATAGTGCTGGTTTATTTTTGGCTATTGTTAGGTCCTCTTCTGGGGTTTGTTAATTTTTTTTTTTTTTTTGCGACCCTTTCGAAATTTTTTGAATTATTCGAAAAAGTTTCGTTTTCTCAAAAACTACTGACCCAATTTTCAAAACAATGGTGTCATTGGAAAAACTGGCTGCTATTCTATGTGCCTGCATATTTTTCTAGTCTCATTCCAGTTTACACCACGTTCTACGGCTTTCGAAATTTTCAGTAGAGGGATTTTTTACTTATTTGATTTTGAATTTGTTCATTTTCTCAAATAACAAATGCATAAATCTGAGATGAACGTTTAAACTAAAGAACTGAACTAAGTCGTTGGGATCTCTCTTTCTCAAGCGGCTATTCCCTGAATGCAAAAGAAAAAGTTATGGCCTCAAACAAGCCCATTTTGTGACATTTTGGTTCATTTTTAAATTTTTTTGGTTTTTCTCAAAAACTGCCCTGCCAAATCGGAGAATAAGAGTTCAACCGGAAGAAAAAAACATGTTATGCGAAGCTTCTCTGCGCAAGCGGCTATGCCCTGCGTTATGAAAAAAATATGGCCTTAGAAAATATACAATTTTTGAAACTTTGAATTTCGGCATCAGTACAAAATATGATCAAAATATTAAAACAGGTGAATCTAGCATAAGCTGGAAAACTAGTTTTTCTGCCAAACGTCCGTGGCGCGATTGCGAGGAAGTTGAAGTTCTAATCAACGGGTAGGAGATCCAAATCCGGAACATTGAAATAGCTAGTTTTTTTGGTCGAGTTTTTCCTGCATCGCATTGGCAATTTGATAGAAACTGCAGCTGCTCTATTGGTGGCTAGTGTTTGTAAAATTACAAGCGGTCATGAAGCAGATGTGAGAACGTGTTACTCCCAAGACTTTCAAAAAATTTTCTCAAGGTGTTTAACCTTTTCCTTATTTCACTTTGTTTTTCCTATTTAAAGATTTTTTTTTTGCGTTTTCCTCGGTTGTGTTTGCGAAGCGCAGCTTCGCCTCTGCGTTGAAACTTGATTTTCCTGCCAAATCGAAGGTTATCCTGCCAAATCGAACTAAAAAAACACTCTTAGTTATTTTTATTAGAGAACCAACTGAGGTTTTGGGTGAAGCCCAGTTTTTGAAATGTTCCCTTTTCCTTACGCATCGATTAAGAAAAAATCAAAAATTATCAAACAGGTGTTTCCAGCTTTAGCTGACCTCTAGTTTCAAAAGAGCAAATTGCACGAAAAAGAGTGACTATAATTGGTTTCGAAAGGGAATTTTGCTTGATAGATTTCTCAGCGGAATAAAAAAATCTATTTGGTGATCTAATTTTCTTGAAAGCACGCTCAAATTCAAAGAGCTTTAACGTGATGTATTTTTTCCTCGGTTGTGTTTGCGAAGCGCAGCTTCGCCTCTGCGTTGAAACTTGATTTTCCTGCCAAATCGAAGGTTATCCTGCCAAATCGAACTAAAAAAACACTCTTAGTTATTTTTATTAGAGAACCAACTGAGGTTTTGGGTGAAGCCCAGTTTTTGAAATGTTCCCTTTTCCTTACGCATCGATTAAGAAAAAATCAAAAATTATCAAACAGGTGTTTCCAGCTTTAGCTGACCTCTAGTTTCAAAAGAGCAAATTGCACGAAAAAGAGTGACTATAATTGGTTTCGAAAGGGAATTTTGCTTGATAGATTTCTCAGCGGAATAAAAAAATCTATTTGGTGATCTAATTTTCTTGAAAGCACGCTCAAATTCAAAGAGCTTTAACGTGATGTATTTTTTCTTCGAAAGCTGAAAAATACTCAATCCGCTTTTTTTTCCGTTTCTTGAGTTTTTCATTGACACTCATCGGGCATATTTCATCGACACTGATTGGGCTAAGTTTCTTTTATGTTCATATGCCTCTCAGAATTGGCTAATTGAATTTTGTGTGACATAATTAAAAAGTTTTCGTCTTTAGATAGACGGTCATGAGGTGGAACTGATGTTGTCGAGAAAGCCCTCAAATCATGTAGCTCCTCATTCTCGCTCAATGCACGAACAAACATCATCTGCAACTAATGTAGACGAAGAGACAAACGCTTCGTGTAAGATTCTTGTGAAAAATGTCCCGTTTGAAGTGACCAAGAACGAACTTCATAAATTGTTCGCCACTTTCGGACAGGTCAAATTCATCCGACTTCCACAGAAACAGGCAGGTAAGTGTTGACCTTAAAAAACATTTATTTTTAATAACCGTAAGTTAAGGTTTTTAAGGTACGAGAAGGGTCAAGTATAACTCTGATTGCAATACTACATGCATAATTGTTAAATGCTTTTTAGAGCGTGATCTTTCTTAGTACATTATGTCTAGTGAAAAGATTCATTTACTAGCGCCATTGTGGTTATTGATTTTGTTATTCTGACAACTCTCGACGAGCGTGATGAAAAAGTATGTTCAGAGTGGTTTCCTCCATATGCTATATATCTACTCTTGCGATAAGCAAGGGTATTACAGTTGGATACTAGACTCTTTTTTTTCCCGTAAACAACTTTGTCCACAGGATGACTGAAATTTGGTGATCTCCAAATGCATCTCTATTTCTACCCAACTTGCACGTCTAACAACTGGCTTCAACGGCTGAATTGATAATTATTTTACAGCTTTAAAAACTTGTAGATGAAATTTGATTTTTTTGTCGGCTTTATTGATTTCGACCCATTCATGTCGGCTTACTTGGCGGGTAAAGAATTCTGTTTTTTTTGGCAGGTTTTTTGACTAATTTTTTCTTTACTTTCCTGAGGGTAAGTATAGTTCATGGTTTTCTAGTTTTCATAGGCGCCAAAGTTTTCTCTTAGAAACAAAACTTTTCTTGAATTTTTCTGCTGGAATTTTTTTTGCTATAAATTTGCAGTTTTTTTCGGATGCATCGTTTTAGATTTTTTTGTTCTTAAAGTGCGTGAAATTAGTTTAAGCTTCAATTAGTTAGGCGTATTTTAGTTTTGAGCAATTTTATTTGAAATCGGTTTAGCGTATTGTTTCAATATGTCAGAAAAAAATTGATAAATTTCCAAATTTTTTTTGCTAGATTGACTTAATTGTTTTGTTACCAAGGAATGTGGCGGAAAATTCTGCACGAGATCCAGGAGTGTGGTTCCTTTTGGCTGAAATAATTGAAAAAACGAACTTTTCGTGTTTTTTTTTTTATTTACTTTTTTGGCGTTTTTTATAATGTTTTTTTTTCTGTTGTTGCTATCTAGCTTTCTTACCGTTGCGAATAAATTTCATAATTACTCTTGTGAAGCGATTGTATTAGTATGAACCTTCTTTTTTCGAACCTAAGTAGCAAGTATTGGTGCGGAACCTTTATGGTGCGGCACCCCAATAATGGTGGGGCACCTTTACAGCTTTTTGATAGCATGTGCTTTGACATTCGAATAGTAATAAGTTAACGCGGTTGATGCATTTTTAATTCATCAAATGACCCAAAAATAGTGATTTGATACATGCAAAGTTACTGTGGATGCCTTCAGTTTGTTGTATTCGAAATTTTTGCATGCAAAATTGAGTCTGTTTCTATTTGGTGCCTTTTGCTGAATCGCATTGGCAAGTTATTAGCATATGTAGCTGATTTATTCGTGACTATTCTTTGTCGGTTGTTAAGCTTGCGTTGCTGAGTGGATAGTGCGTGAGATTCAAAACCTCTTCATTGCAGTAGGTCGCATATTCGAATCCTACACGTAGCCGAGTTTGTGCTACTTCTATAACATTTACGTAAAAATTTTTCTTGATTTTTTAGCCTACAATTTTTTTGACTAAATTCATTCAAGTTTTTCAATTATCAAATAAGACACATCGTCTTTTGATTTTTCGAGCTTTTTTGTGTATCGCAATTTATTGTGTATCGCTTCGCCTCTGTGTTTAATTTCTTTTTAATTTTTTTGGGTAATGATTTCCGTGGTCGGACATTCATTGCTTCTTAAAAGAATGGAACCTTTTTTAGGAATCTGTTATCATTATTTTGTTTAGGAAATGGACATCGTGGTTTCTGCTTCGTAGAGTACCACAGTCTAGCTGAGGCTAAGAAGGCGTTCGTGTCTCTGAGTCAGAGCACCCATTTATTAGGACGCAGACTGGTGCTTCAATGGGCAGAGGATGCTGACTCAGTTGCCGATATGAGGAAGAGGACTGCGGATAAGTTGAGTCTCCAGCAGAAGGCAGAGTGGGAAAAAGCGAAGAAAGCAAAAATAGAAGATCAAATGTGAACAAATCCGAATATCTAATATTTACACGTTTTAATAATAACATATCATAATCCAGTGAACCATTGGAAATGAAATCCTGATCTAAAATCAACCGAAAATCCATCATTTGTATCCCCAAAAAATAACTGATCGTAAATCCACCGAACGATCGAAACCTAAATTCTAGATTGCGTGTAAAAATCGACTGTAATATGCAACTTGATGGCCCCAAACGATCTGAAGTTTACGACAAGGAATATCTAACAGTTTGAACAAAACCGAAATTTCTTCTCAACTGGATGTAAGACGCGAATGCCTCGTGCAGATTAGATTCGTATGAATTTAAGACGCGAATTTAAGGTTCTTGGGATTTAAGACACGAGTCTAACATCACCCAAAAGAACTGAAATCAAAATATACCTTGCAACTGATACAGTTTTAAAACTAGCTTGGTCCGCTAGTTACCAGCAAAGTCTTGTACTACATTTTTTTTCGGGCCAGCGAATCGAAGATTGGCCGATGACGCAATTGTCGATATTGTTTCAAAAGACTGCTAATTTGCAACTTATTTTAGAATTTGTTGTAATGTTCAAATTGAAGCCTTCTAAACTCACTTTTCAATGAATTAGATGTAAGTACATCGATCCTAATTAAGTGAATTCGATAGCGAGAAAGAAGACGTTCAATACAAAACATGTCTATTGCGTAATGCGTCTAGGTGTAATTGACATAAGCAATAGCACTTTTCATAAAGAACTGAGCTGCCCCTATCTCGTATGTTGTTGTTTTCTCGTGGATAAATGGTCTAACTTAATATTTTATTTTCTCCAATGGTATGTGTGTTTTCAGATTTTGCTATGAAGATGGTAGCAAATCCTGCTTCGAACCCAACCACACATGCATCCATGAACAAGCGAAGTCCTACTAAATCGTCCAGCAATACCAACTCATCATCATCTCCAGGTGGTGCATTTGAACTCATTCGCTTAAATCAATCTCAAACTGCTTGAATGTGATAGGTAAAATTATATTTTTCAGAGACGTCTGTAAACGGATATTTTTTGTCTAACGGCGATCTCCCAGAAGTGGTTCTTCTGAGATAAATGAATATTCATTTAACAATGGTTGATGATTTGGGTCTTCCTGAAAACAATAAATTATCATATTGATTACACTAGCCGTCAGCGTAGTGTATTATTAGGAACCTTTTTTTCTAACCTAACTCACAAATAAAAGTGTTCATTAATAAAAGTGTTCATTACTATGACAGTCGAAGATGCCTAAATTATAGCTTTATATCAGATCATTTTATCGCACCTCGCAGAAAAAACTACACTAATTTGAAACTGTTAGATTTTTCTCGAAAACTACCCTTCCAAATCTGATGTTTTGGTTTCAATGGGTAGAACAGGTTGTTGGTGTTTCGCTTTCATAAGCGGTTACGCCCAATTTTTAACACAAAAAGTTATGGCTCTCGAAAATTCAAATTTTTGATTTTTTGCCATTTTTTACATAATCGAAGCGAAGTGTATTATAACGAACGTACTTTTTTTCCAACCTAAGTCGCAAATAAAAATGCTTATTAGTCAGTGGCACTTTTGGTGTACTTCAATTTCATGATATTTAAGCGTATTCAAGCATATAATAGCATATAGTGCTGGTTTATTTTTGGCTATTGTTAGGTCCTCTTCTGGGGTTTGTTAATTTTTTTTTTTTTTTTTTGCGACCCTTTCGAAATTTTTTGAATTATTCGAAAAAGTTTCGTTTTCTCAAAAACTACTGACCCAATTTTCAAAACAATGGTGTCATTGGAAAAACTGGCTGCTATTCTATGTGCCTGCATATTTTTCTAGTCTTATTCCAGTTTACACCACGTTCTACGGCTTTCGAAATTTTCAGTAGGGGGATTTTTTACTTATTTGATTTTGAATTTGTTCATTTTCTCAAATAACAAATGCATAAATCTGAGATGAACGTTTAAACTAAAGAACTGAACTAAGTCGTTGGGATCTCTCTTTCTCAAGCGGCTATTCCCTGAATGCAAAAGAAAAAGTTATGGCCTCAAACAAGCCCATTTTGTGACATTTTGGTTCATTTTTAAATTTTTTTGGTTTTTCTCAAAAACTGCCCTGCCAAATCGGAGAATAAGAGTAACCGGAAGAAAAAAAACATGTTATGCAAATCTTCTCTGCGCAAGTGGCTATGCCCTGCGTTATGAAAAAAATATGGCCTTAGAAAATATACAATTTTTGAAACTTTGAATTTCGGCATCAGTACAAAATATGATCAAAATATTAAAACAGGTGAATCTAGCATAAGCTGGAAAACTAGTTTTTCTGCCAAACGTCCGTGGCGCGATTGCGAGGAAGTGGAAGTTCTAATCAACGGGTAGGAGATCCAAATCCGGAACATTGAAATAGTTAGTTTTTTTGGTCGAGTTTTTCCTGCATCGCATTGGCAATTTGATAGAAACTGCAGCTGCTCTATTGGTGGCTAGTGTTTGTAAAATTACAAGCGGTCATGAAGCAGATGTGAGAACGTGTTACTCCCAAGACTTTCAAAAAATTTTCTCAAGGTGTTTAACCTTTTCCTTATTTCACTTTGTTTTTCCTATTTAAAGATTTTTTTTTTTGCGTTTTCCTCGGTTGTGTTTGCGAAGCGCAGCTTCGCCTCTGCGTTGAAACTTGATTTTCCTGCCAAATCGAAGGTTATCCTGCCAAATCGAACTAAAAAAAACACTCTTAGTTATTTTTATTAGAGAACCAACTGAGGTTTTGGGTGAAGCCCAGTTTTTGAAATGTTCCCTTTTCCTTACGCATCAATTGAGAAAAAATCAAAAATTATCAAACAGGTGTTTCCAGCTTTAGCTGACCTCTAGTTTCAAAAGAGCAAATTGCACGAAAAAGAGTGACTATAATTGGTTTCGAAAGGGAATTTTGCTTGATAGATTTCTCAGCGGAATAAAAAAAATCTATTTGGTGATCTAATTTTCTTGAAAGCACGCTCAAATTCAAAGAGCTTTAACGTGATGTATTTTTTCTTCGAAAGCTGAAAAATACTCAATCCGCTTTTTTTTCCGTTTCTTGAGTTTTTCATTGACACTCATCGGGCATATTTCATCGACACTGATTGGGCTAAGTTTCTTTTATGTTCATATGCCTCTCAGAATTGGCTAATTGAATTTTGTGTGACATAATTAAAAAGTTTTCGTCTTTAGATAGACGGTCATGAGGTGGAACTGATGTTGTCGAGAAAGCCCTCAAATCATGTAGCTCCTCATTCTCGCTCAATGCACGAACAAACATCATCTGCGACTAATGTAGACGAAGAGACAAACGCTTCGTGTAAGATTCTTGTGAAAAATGTCCCGTTTGAAGTGACCAAGAACGAACTTCATAAATTGTTCGCCACTTTCGGACAGGTCAAATTCATCCGACTTCCACAGAAACAGGCAGGTAAGTGTTGACCTTAAAAACATTTATTTTTAATAACCGTAAGTTAAGGTTTTTAAGGTACGAGAAGGGTCAAGTATAACTCTGATTGCAATACTACATGCATAATTGTTAAATGCTTTTTAGAGCGTGATCTTTCTTAGTACATTATGTCTAGTGAAAAGATTCATTTACTAGCGCCATTGTGGTTATTGATTTTGTTATTCTGACAACTCTCGACGAGCGTGATGAAAAAGTATGTTCAGAGTGGTTTCATCCATATGCTATATATCTACTCTTGCGATAAGCAAGGGTATTACAGTTGGATACTAGACTCTTTTTTTTCCCGTAAACAACTTTGTCCACAGGATGACTGAAATTTGGTGATCTCCAAATGCATCTCTATTTCTACCCAACTTGCACGTCTAACAACTGGCTTCAACGGCTGAATTGATAATTATTTTACAGCTTTAAAAACTTGTAGATGAAATTTGATTTTTTTGTCGGCTTTATTGATTTCGACCCATTCATGTCGGCTTACTTGGCGGGTAATGAATTCTGTTTTTTTGGCAGGTTTTTTGACTAATTTTTTCTTTACTTTCCTGAGGGTAAGTATAGTTCATGGTTTTCTAGTTTTCATAGGCGCCAAAGTTTTCTCTTAGAAACAAAACTTTTCTTGAATTTTTCTGCTGGATTTTTTTTTGCTATAAATTTTGCAGTTTTTTTCGGATGCATCGTTTTAGATTTTTTTGTTCTTAAAGTGCGTGAAATTAGTTTAAGCTTCAATTAGTTAGGCGTATTTTAGTTTTGAGCAATTTTATTTGAAATCGGTTTAGCGTATTGTTTCAATATGTCAGAAAAAAATTGATAAATTTCCAAATTTTTTTTGCTAGATTGACTTAATTGTTTTGTTACCAAGGAATGTGGCGGCAAATTCTGCACGAGATCCAGGAGTGTGGTTCCTTTTGGCTGAAATAATTGAAAAAACGAACTTTTCGTGTTTTTTTTTTATTTACTTTTTTGGCGTTTTTTATAATGTTTTTTTTTCTGTTGTTGCTATCTAGCTTTCTTACCGTTGCGAATAAATTTCATAATTACTCTTGTGAAGCGATTGTATTAGTATGAACCTTCTTTTTTCGAACCTAAGTAGCAAGTATTGGTGCGGAACCTTTATGGTGCGGCACCCCAATAATGGTGGGGCACCTTTACAGCTTTTTGATAGCATGTGCTTTGACATTCGAATAGTAATAAGTTAACGCGGTTGATGCATTTTTAATTCATCAAATGACCCAAAAATAGTGATTTGATACATGCAAAGTTACTGTGGATGCCTTCAGTTTGTTGTATTCAAAATTTTTGCATGCAAAATTGAGTCTGTTTCTATTTGGTGCCTTTTGCTGAATCGCATTGGCAAGTTATTAGCATATGTAGCTGATTTATTCGTGACTATTGTTTGTCGGTTGTTAAGCTTGCGTTGCTGAGTGGATAGTGCGTGAGATTCAAAACCTCTTCATTGCAGTAGGTCGCATATTCGAATCCTACACGTAGCCGAGTTTGTGCTACTTCTATAACATTTACGTAAAAATTTTTCTTGATTTTTTAGCCTACAATTTTTTTGACTAAATTCATTCAAGTTTTTCAATTATCAAATAAGACACATCGTCTTTTGATTTTTCGAGCTTTTTTGTGTATCGCAATTTATTGTGTATCGCTTCGCCTCTGTGTTTAATTTCTTTTTAATTTTTTTGGGTAATGATTTCCGTGGTCGGACATTCATTGCTTCTTAAAAGAATGGAACCTTTTTTAGGAATCTGTTATCATTATTTTGTTTAGGAAATGGACATCGTGGTTTCTGCTTCGTAGAGTACCACAGTCTAGCTGAGGCTAAGAAGGCGTTCGTGTCTCTGAGTCAGAGCACCCATTTATTAGGACGCAGACTGGTGCTTCAATGGGCAGAGGATGCTGACTCAGTTGCCGATATGAGGAAGAGGACTGCGGATAAGTTGAGTCTCCAGCAGAAGGCAGAGTGGGAAAAAGCGAAGAAAGCAAAAATAGAAGATCAAATGTGAACAAATCCGAATATCTAATATTTACACGTTTTAATAATAACATATCATAATCCAGTGAACCATTGGAAATGAAATCCTGATCTAAAATCAACCGAAAATCCATCATTTGTATCACCAAAAAATAACTGATCGTAAATCCACCGAACGATCGAAACCTAAATTCTAGATTGCGTGTAAAAATCGACTGTAATATGCAACTTGATGGCCCCAAACGATCTGAAGTTTACGACAAGGAATATCTAACAGTTTGAACAAAACCGAAATTTCTTCTCAACTGGATGTAAGACGCGAATGCCTCGTGCAGATTAGATTCGTATGAATTTAAGACGCGAATTTAAGGTTCTTGGGATTTAAGACACGAGTCTAACATCACCCAAAAGAACTGAAATCAAAATATACCTTGCAACTGATACAGTTTTAAAACTAGCTTGGTCCGCTAGTTACCAGCAAAGTCTTGTACTACATTTTTTTTCGGGCCAGCGAATCGAAGATTGGCCGATGACGCAATTGTCGATATATGTGTTTCAAAAGACTGCTAATTTGCAACTTATTTTAGAATTTGTTGTAATGTTCAAATTGAAGCCTTCTGAACTCATTTTTCAATGAATTAGATGTAAGTACATCGATCCTAATTAAGTGAATTCGATAGCGAGAAAGAAGATGTTCAATATAAAATATATCTATTGCGTAATGCGTCTAGGTGTAATTGACATAAGCAATAGCACTTTTCATAAAGAACTGAGCCGCCCCTATCTCGTTTGCTGTTATTTTCTTGTGGATAAATGGTCTAACTTCATGAATTATTTTCTCCAATGGTTTGTTTGTTTTCAGATTTTTCTATGAAGATGGTAGCAAATCCTGCTTCGAACCCAACCACACATGCATCCATGAACAAGCGAAGTCCTACTAAATCGTCCAGCAATACCAACTCATCATCATCTCCAGGTGGTGCATTTGAACTCATTCGCTTAAATCAATCTCAAACTGCTTGAATGTGATTGGTAAAATTATATTTTTCAGAGACGTCTGTAAACGGATATTTTTTGTCTAACGGCGATCTCCCAGAAGTGGTTCTTCTGAGATAAATGAATATTCATTTAACAATGGTTGATGATTTGGGCCTTCCTGAAAACAATAAATTATTATATTGATTACACTAGCCGTCAGCGCAGTGTATTATTACGAACCTTTTTTTCTAACCTAACTCACAAATTTAAGTGTTCACTTATTTGGAAATTTCACTGTAGCACTGAAAATTGCATTGCATCTGTTCGCTGTTTCATTTGTGGCTAGTATTTGTTTCCTATTAAGCATTCGTGGTTAATTTGTGAGACTCATAATCTCTAGATCGCAGGTAGGGATGGATCTAGTATTTTCTCGAGGGGGGGGGGATTTTGTCAACCAATTTTTAGATCGACCAAATTGATTTTCCAAGCTCTCCCAAACCACTAAAAAGACCCTGTTTTGGCCAAATTTTCTGCGCCGCAGGCAAAACTTTGAAAAAACATACCAATAAAAGCGTTTTAGGAACTTTTTGGAAAATTTAGACCAAAAAAGCGCCTGTTTTTGGGGCGCGCTCCCACCTCAAAATTAGTATATATTGGCGCCGAAGGCGTCTTCAGAAAAATTTTAGAGTCAGTCACCAAAAATGGATATCTCAAAATAGTACAAAGGGTGGACCCTTTGGGTCGGAAGGGGGTCGAATCCCTAAGGGAGAGGGCGACCACCCCCCCTACCCCTTCTAAATCCGACCCTAGTCGCAGGTGCGAATTCGAGACTTAGCCGAATTTTTGTGAATTGTGAAGCCAAGCAAGGCGAAGCTTCGCCTCTGTGCTTTAAATAAATTGCGGAATCTAACTTTGAAAAAAGCTTTTTATTAGTAAGTGATGCGTTGTTAAGTTTTTTTTTGGACAGAATAAATATAAATAATTCTTCAGGTGTCTCAAGTGGGATGGAGATGGAAAGAAGAGTTGAGAGTCTGTTTGAGACTCAGACTGTAAGCGAAGTGCGGGGAGTGGAGAGGAGGTTCCACTCGGACATCGACAGGAAAAGACAGGATCTGAGACTTCTTGTTGGGTGAGTAAATGCTCCCACCCCTAATTTCCGACTGTTATTTTGCGACCCCCGTAGAAAGTAGGGAGCTGAAACAATGAGGGATGATAGGTAGTCGAAAGATACATCAAGTGTTGAACCGTTTTCAACGGTTCGATATGAACCGTTTCCAACGATTGGATCGGAACCTGTTAGCACTTGGAAAAACACCCCCTTAGACCGGAAATTAACAAATTACGCAAAATAATGAGCATGCGCGTATTGGTTTTATGGCGGCAATAGACACTAGAAACAAACCAAGAAAAAAGTTCCATGGTGATTCGAACCCCTCCGGTGTTAATAGCTTTTTCCCGAGAAAAGTGATAGTGGACCTTAGAAATGGGATAACTTGAGAAATACTAATCAGATGTGGATGAAACTTGCTGAGTAGGACCCCCATGAGACGCTTATCCTGTCCGAGGAAGTATATTCCCTGGTGACCTGTTTGACCTAAGTTGGCCGTTGGGCATTATAACCCCAAATTGCATGGAAACCCCTAGATTTAACACTTGAGAGTGGCCTAGCCCTTAGAATTAACTACTGGGGATGGAATGTGATAATTTAGTGGGAACAAGGGTGGATAAAAAGTACCTCTAGGTTGTATGGTAGAGGGCTTGGGCCTAAATGATTAGCTTGTTCTTCGTCTATACTATAGTGTTGGAGTATTGGAATTAATTAAAGTGGACTTGGTAAACTTTGGATTGAGCTTAGCTACGATAGTTAAGCTATTAAAGAAATTTAACTAAACCAAAGAAAAGTGGTCCCAGAGAAAAATGGCAGTAATAAGAGCGCGGCATGGGAAGAAAATCTTCTAAATAATATGGTTAAGCAGAAAAATTAATGGGCTCCTCGGAGATGACTTTGGCTTAATTAGACCCCTTATTGGCGACATACGTCTCCCTGATAGCTAGAAGATTGGGATTGGAATAGAGTTTACATGGGAATTTTGGATGCTTGAAATAATTTCGCTACCCGTGGAACAGGTCTTCCCCTAACCTCGGGAGGACGGAAACATTAAAGGGATAGTTTAAATAAAGACCTCCGGAGGCTCATTGAGTAAACATAACATTGACTGTGAGGGCTGGAATTCATGAAGGTCAAGAATTAGTTGATTAAAGTCGTGTGATATTTGTTTGCCTGGGTTTTTTGTGACACCTATTGCTTAATGGCTGTAATCGTGACGAGATAAACGTAATCGAACTTGGCACTTGGTACATGGGGGAGAGATAAAACATGCGCGGAGGAGTGAATTAAGCGGATGTTAGGACTGATGGAGGATGGCTTGACCAAAATTAAGTGTAAGTAAAGATAAAGAACTGGAGGATGCCGGAGAGCCTACTCTTAGGCAGAACAATTAGTACAGATTACGTGCCGATTTAGTCTGACCAGTAATTTAACCCCTTCAGGATTGTGGATAATGTTGCGGCTTAGTGTCCCCAGCTATTACACAGTATAAAGAGAAGAAACTTTGCGGCCGTGAAGTAAAATGAAAGTGTGTTTAGTGGAGACGTCGTCTCCCTGATAAATCTACATCTAGTTTCGAAAGTGCATTTTTATTCAATTTTTCCAGCGAAATAAAAATTTTACCTATCGATCCCGTTTTCTCAAATTGGGTTAATTTTATCAAAAAAGCACCAATCATAGAAAAGTACCTATCATAAAAGTATCAATCTCAGAGGGCTTTAAGGTTATCTATTTTTTTTCAACTTCGAATGTTGATATTTAAAAAAAGCAGTCAGTATTTTTTTTTGTTTCCTCGCGTTCATTATCTTTTTCCAACTTTCAGTTGGCTTTGTTTATTTATAATACTTTTTCTTGAAAAAAATTTTTTGGTGGTACAATTGAGTTTTTGCCTCTAACTTCTTTTTTTCTTCAAATTGAATTAAGTTTTTGAATTATCAATGAAATTTGCAACAGTTCGAAGCGTATATAACTCTTCAAACTTTGATTTTTGAACTCAGAATCTTTGTTTAAAAAGCCTCCAAAATTGAATGAGTTCTTGTCGAAAACCGGGTTCTGATTAGCTGTTTGTCGCCCGATTTGAAATTGGAGTATTTTTTTGTTTTTCTGTTTGTTTAGGGAGAGATACAAAGACGTAATTGATGTGTCAGACAAACTCACTGGAATCACTGCTCATTCAGAACAAGTAAGCAATCTTCGTAGATTTTACTTCATTAAATTTAATGAATGAAATTCTTTTTTAAACCAATTTTGTGTTTTTTACCTGCTAAGTTTTCGATGGTTTCAATGTAGCAGTAATTTGAAGCTTCGAGATTAATCAGCAAATAGAGGGCAATTTACAATTTTGATAATGAAAACATGACAATAGCGCAAAAAGTAGCGTTGACTTTGTTTGTAAGAGGTTGTATAAATTCTGAAATGAAAAAAAATACGTGTGGATACATTTTGATCAATGTCGCTCATTGTTGTCATCTGGTGCGTGAATTTTGTTTTTTGAAGCTGATTTTTTCCCATGGCTTTGCTTTTTATTGACTTTTTAGAGGGCCTTGTCAATGCTAAGTTCAGCTTCGCCTGTGTAATAAGTTATATTTGCGTGTAATTTTGTTTGTTATAATTTGAAGGTGAAATCCAGGCTAGAAAGGATGCAATCTCTATGCGAAGACTTAAAGAAGAGCCAAGAACGACAGAAGAAGAATTTGCAGCACCAAGAACAGAAACAAAGCCAAGAGTTCACTAGTGGTGTGAACAAAGAGGGAGATGGTACAATTGGCAACGGAAATAGAAGTGCGTTGGAGGTGGCATGTCAATTGAGACTGTTATCCCTGATGCCAGAAAACGTGAGTGTTTTCGGGTGCCTTATTATCCGATCCCCTTGATACGTGATTTTGAGCAGAAATTAAGGAACCCCTGATAATGAAGACCCCCCGGATGTTGGATTTGGAGAAACTGCAGACCCTGTACGTCGCACAAAAACTTAGGTTTTACTCGAAAGTCTGGAAGGAAGTCAAATAAAATACGCAATTTTGTTGCTAGTAGACCTGTAGGTCATTGACCCTAAGAGACAGTTCTCTATCTATACGAAGTGTCCTGGTAGTTCGTGTTATACCCACGGAGCTAAAATGTTAATACGCGCTAAAATCTGAGACATAAACTAATACGCTCGATAGATAATGTAGAGAGAAACGATTCATCAACTTGAATTCATACGGTTAAGTTTAAGTCTGATCGAATTCGACCTTTATGTCTGAACTGACTTTTCTCTTAGGTGCTGTTGTTTCTGGACAAATGCGAGTACGTCAAGGCATCCCAACTAGTCTCCTTTTCCCAAAGTCTCCGATCGAGTCTGACAGATCCACTCTCCAGCCCATACACAGACACAGTGAAGACCCACTTCCCTATTCTGCACAGAATATCAACTCAACACATACACTCCGCACTCAGTCAGACTATGCAGAGGAATATGATTGCAATGGTTACTGCAGGTATCAACCTAATTAGACAAGCGAAGCTTGTGTAACATTACAAGGTCACTTTTTCTTTCAATGTGAATAATATCATGTCTTGCTTCTGTGATTTAAATATAGCAAAATTAGTTTTTACAAGCAGTTTTTTTTTACATCTGTTGTACCGTTTTTTGCATCGTTTTTGTTACTTTATTCGAAATATTTTTTTTAACCGTTTTTCAGGACCTTTGGCAAAACCCAGCTCCGATAATGCAGCTGAAGCCAATAATGGACTATGCACGAAAGAGAACGCAGCCCACTTCTGCCGAATTGTGGAAGCATTCTCGATTCTATACAAAAGTTTCTTCATTGACGCTTGTGTGCAGTGCCTGGAACTATTTAGTGACCATATGGTCCATATTCTCACTGACGCCGACACGAGTCAAAGTGTGGGAGATATTTTGACGATGGTATCTCGAATATATCATTTTGTAGTGTACTGTATTGAGTATACGGTCGAATTTGTGACTGATTCGTCCAAGAATGATGAGTCATTGATGAGCCATAAGTTCGATGACTTGTACCCGACGCAAACGCAACTGAAGAACTTTTTACCCACCGATATTCGAAATGTGTCTTTCGCGCCGACTATTCTTGATCAAAGTGAAATTGAAGGTTTCAAGAAGGAGGTTTCTTCGCACATTGAAGAGTACTTGGTGAATAGGATCCGAAAATACGTGGATGATCAGCTAAGTTATGTGAAGACGATTAAGTCTCTGACCAAGATCAAGACGGAACTAACAAGAATTGTAAGTTGGAACAAGGTACTTGTTTATAATTTGTTATTCTTATGTGGGTATTATTTGTGAATTAGATGTCGAATCTGAAATTCTCAAAAACTTGAGAGTTACATTAGCTTATCCGAGGAGATCTTTTAAGTGATGCTTTAACCTGGAGTTTTTCAAAAAAGTTAAATTTTTTTGGAACAATTGATATATTTTTTGAGCCTTTGAGAAACTGTGAAGACCCTAGTTTGACTGAATTTATCGCGCCACAAGCGAATTGAAAGAAAAATTGTCGAACATGCCGTTTTTGATCGATCAAGTCTCATCATATGGGTATAAATTAATGACCCGTACTATTACGCAATGATGATCCGATTGGCCCGAATAGATGTCGAAAAGTCAAACGAAAATTGCTGTAGGCCCACAAGGTAGTCGTATTTCTGAGATGGCAGCGTCAAAATCCTCCTCTGTTTTTAACTTGAACTCGAATGTCTTTCCATATGTCTTGGCGTTGAGGCGCTTCGGTAGAGATGGTGCCCAGCAATCATATGATTGCGGGTTCAAATCACACTTGCGCTGCAATTTACAAGGTAATTCATATGGCAAGACTTGCGCTGCAATTCACACTTGCGCTGCAATTCACACTTGCGCTGCAATTTACCTTAAATAATTAACCTCCGGGTTAGACCTTTGGCTGGTTAACTTATGTATATGTCTGATCTGTTAATTAGGAACAAGAGTCCATTCGCTTTGAGAATTCGACTTCAGAACCTGTCGGGCAATTCGAAGATAATTCTGGAGTGAATGTTATTTCTGTGAACATCTGGCAGACTCTGTTTGAACCCCTGTTCGCCTCTTGTGTACAGGTGGGTTAGCTTGGTGAATTTAATATTAAAACTCAACTTGGCTCGTTCACCATCCCCTCACCCCCCCCCCCCCCCCCCCCCCCCTACAATAAGTGTTTTTTTTTTAATTTTGAACCACAGAATTAGAAAGAATGGATTTGAAAATGTGTAATCATTACCTTGCGTGCCATAGTTCATAAGAGTCGGGCATTGTGAACTCAAGTTTCATACGGTTAAAATCTCAGATAGGAACGGCGAGAGAACCCATTAGTTATAAAAATAGGAATGGTTGTTTATGGAGCTCAACTAAATTTTTTTTGCGACCAATTTATCAAACAATTTTTCTAAGTAAAACTGTTTTAAATATGGAAATTTATTTGACATAAATGTTATTTTTCGACTATTTTAGTCTACTAGTAAGTATCAGTATAACAATGTAATTGACGAAACTCAGTCATTTTTGTTCGGTTTAGAAACTAGTGAAAAAGGGCGCGCTTGATCAGTGGACAGAAGTCCTGGCTCTCCTAGAGGACAAGCTGGCCCCCCTCACTTCATCACACCACCCCCACTCTCAACGTCAAAGGGGGGACTCCGATATGCCGTCACATGTGTGGAACGAAGAAGTACTATTAACTCATCCGAGCCAGTCTCTGGGTTTGTCTAGTGAGGGGGGTGAGAAAAGTTCAAAAGGGGTTGAAAGGGGAAGTAGCGGTGGGGTTGGAAATGCGTGGTCGTCATCTCACACGGAGACTCCGGCTATTGTGAGGTTAGAATCTGCTGCAAATATCGATCAAATAGTTCTTATGATTTTGAAATGGGTCATTAATCTGGTTTTGGTAATATAGCAACAGGAAGATCGCAAAGGATTTTTTTTAAATTAGTGCTGTTGCAGAAACTATCCGGCGTCATGGTAATTTTGAGGTTAATTATTTCGAATTGTTTGAAAAGCGTTATTTATCTGGTTTTAGTGATAGATCAACTTAAAGATCGCATTATTTTAAAGGAGTGGTGCAGTAAAAAAAATATCTAGTCTTAAATTTGTTTTTTTTTTTCTAAATTTTTTTTCTTCATTTTTTGACCCATGTCAGTGGATTTTGTCTGTGAATAACTTAAGAACAAATATATTCAGAAGTTTTTTTTCCGCATAATTTATGTACTTAAGAGAAAAAATAGAGAAATTTTATGATTTGTCTGTAAATTTAGCGTGTGTAACAAGATTGATGAGATCGTAGATGTCTTGTGTGAGAGTGGTCGAGTCTACTTCCAATCTCAAACTCAACCAAATCGCAAGCAACACCAATACCAATATAACAACCTGAACAGTGCCACTTCAAGTTCAAGTACAGGAAACTTGAGTGCGCAAGAAGACAGTGGGAAAAGTGCAATGGATGGAATGAGCGAGCAGATTACTCTGATTTTACTGCAAAGGTGATTTAGTACATAGATTGAAAAGCTATTTAAAAATTATTTGAGAGAAATTAAACCTGTTTTCAGATAAAAAAAATTATTTGGGTTAGAATAAATAGATAGTACTTGAGTAATTGTTGTCTCATACAAGCGTTCGAGAGCGCTCATGCGTCGGAAAGCTAACTACGCATATAGAGTTAGCGGACCAAGTTAACATCCTCCCCCCCCCCAAAGCCGTTTGGGGGGTGTTAACTTGGCTCTAAGTTAGAAATTTCCAACCAATCAGAATCGAGCATTTTACATACCGCGCTTAGCAAATTTAATGCGAATGTTAACTTGATCCGAGTTAGCGATAATTATAGAATGTTTGAATGAGTTGCTGTACGTAGTTAGTCTCATCCGGTTGGAAGTGCAGTTTTGTTTTTACAGAATACAGGGTTGAAAGTTCTATTTATTTAAGAAATTAGTAAAAACTAGCAATTTGTTTGTTTTGAGGCTGATTGAATTTCTACATGGAACATCCAGAGATCTGGTCGAAGCATTGTCAAATGGAGTCAATGGATTCAAAATGACGCGGTGAGAAATTTTAAAAAACTATGATGAACAAGCTTTAAAAAATTTGAGCTTTGTGACTGCTATTCAGATCTATCTGGCTGAAGTGGCTGTCTCAAAAAGTTTAGTTAAAATTATAAAATAAGTTCTTAATTTGAGCTGTCAGTTAATATTCGAGCGATAAATGTCAAAAATTGTTGTTTAATTATTTGCCAAAAGTTATCATTAAGAGTAATGAACATAGTGAGTACTCTTATATAGGTCTTGGTGATTTTTTGTTTTTCAGGAAAAAGTCTAAAATTGTTCACGCTCAATTTTGATTTTTCGAGGGTTGACTTCTGATTTTTTTAAGTTCTTTTCATTTCCTTTGTTAAAAGCAAGGCAAACTCCACTATCGAAAAGCAAAAATGTAAAGGTCACGAAAAACGTGATCGTCTTCTAGTTTTGACAATCGAATTTACTTATCGAATTTCCCAGCGAAATAGAATTTTTACATATTGATCCAGTTTTCTCAAATTGGGTTGGTTTTTATCAAAAACGCACTAATCATAAATTGTTCGTGAAATTCAAAGAGCTTTATGGTCATATATTTGCTTCTGTAAAATTCCAAAGTTTATAACTTGAAACTTATAACTTGCGTTCATTACTCTTGTTTTTTATGCTTGTTTTTATAATTCTCTTTCATGTCTTTTGTTGTGTTAAAATGTAACATGTTGTTTAGTGTGGAATTGGAACTGAGACTGATGAATTATCTGTTGTGCAATTGCAGATGCATGCGCAACTTCCACAGGTAAAAAAACATCCGGCGGATGTTCAACAAACCGCCAAATTACAAACTGCCAAAACTTGAAGCCGAAATTACATTAGAATAACGTAACGATTGCTTTCTGTTATGTTAGTTTTCTTAACAATATAAGTTTTCGGCTTGTTGGAATAGTTATGTTATTTTTGACTTGTTAGCCTGTCACCCAAAATCATCTCTGTCTTTTATTTTGCAACTCAAAAGCTCAGCTCATGAAGTTGGTCATCTCTTTCCTTCTTTAAAGACAGACCAGGAGTAAAATATGGACATACGTATCCATACGATTGGACATACGTATCCATTTTTGGAGACCAAATTTCCAATCTCCTGAAGAAAACTACAACAGATATCATGGTTCAATTGGCATACGTTAGGAGTTTGTTTCGGCAGGTTTCTGAAAGATAATTTAGAGTTTAATAGCGAAGTGCATGTTGTTTATAATTAAGTTTTTTCTTTAGGAATGAGTTGACAGAAGAGGTCTTTGTGCAGGTCGAACAGATGATGAAGCGAGTTCAGAGGTCGGTCATTTTTTTTTGCAAATGTTGATTAAACAAGCATAGCTTGTGTTATAGTGAGAAATTTCTTTTTTTTTTCCAACCTAAGTCGCAAATATGTTGTGTTCATGTTGAAAGTGTTCATTTTGATCCAGCTATTAAGTACAGCCAATGCTAAGGATATTAACACAGACTATTATATTACAAATAGCACTTTAGCTTTAAGGCATCATGGATCTGTAGCGTAGAGGTAGGGAAGGAGACCAGCAGCAAAATAAGAAGGTTCGAACATGGGCAGGGTCGGATGTTTTTAATGAACTTTTTCGTATACTAGTTTAAATGCGTCCGCCCTATAAATTGAGGCTTGTTAGTTGGTAAATTTCTTTTTTCAAATTTACTGGTACTGCTAATGCGTCCTAATTGGCTTGCGTCACTTAGCAATTATGTAGACTCATAATTGGCTTGCGTCACTTATGAAATTTTGTAGACTCAAAATTTTACTCATTCAGTTTTTCTCAGTAGCGTCATCGGTCATATCTTGTGTATGCTAAGTGTAACTTCGCATCTGAGTGAAAACTTTGGCAACCAGAATTGAGGGGGATGGGGGTTGCCTCCCTCAGCTTGCTACTGGTAAATAGATGCTTTTAAGGTGTATCATCTTGAGAAATATTATCATTAGTTTTTGTAGAAATGAAAAAACACTATTATTAAGAGTTTCTGAACGTAGTTCAGACTTATATATAATGGGCGACATTGAAATTGCAACAGCAATTTTTCAATGAGCCAAAAATATTTTGAAATGGTTAATTTGAGATTTTGCAGAAAGCATTTGCTTGCTGTGCCTATGTTTCACTGGCCTATGTTTCATCTAATTCATTTTTGGAATTAAGTTTAATACCTTGATTCATTCGCATTTCTGGAAAATCATTGACTTTTTAAGGTCAATAAACGAAATAAATTAGAAGGTTAAGCCATAACCTGTTGTCGTTAGATCAAAACTGGTTTTCCAGTTTAATTTCAAGCAAAATTTGCTGTCAATAATGCAAGGAAGCTCGAATTTAGTAAAATATAAATTAGCTGCTGAAATGTGATCAAATTTGCTTAAACGCGTTAGCCTTTAAGATATCACAGTTTCTTCAAATGATTTGATTTTGAGGAAAGGTTTCGCAAAAATTTTGATGATGCAGTTTCAATTTCGCCTTGTATAGGTGGCGATGATTTTTTTTCTCTGGTTTTTCAGGAAAAGTCTTGAAATTTGTTCACGCTTAAAATTACATTTTCGCGGTGTGACTTTGATTTTTTAAGTTCAGTTCATTTCCTTTGTTAAAAGGAAGGCAAATTCCACTATCGAACAGAAAAAGTGTAAAGGTCACGAAAAACGTGATCGCCTTCTTGTTTTGACAATGGAATTTAATTATCGAATTTCCGAGCGAAATGAAAGTTTCATACCTATTGATCCAGTTTCTCAAATTGGATTGATTTTATTTAAAAAAGTCAGCATAAATTTTTCTGGAAATTCAAAGAGCTTTGAGTCCATTTATTTTTTCTTCTAAAATCGAAAGTTTAGATTTTTTTCCGTTTACTTCGTTAATTGACATTTTTCCTATTATATGTTGGCTACGGTTTGTTTTTCAAATCAGGATCACTTGAACAATCTCCGCGAAAATAAATCAGGGGGAGATTCGGAGATCGTTCACTTGGTTAAAAGTTCTTTTTTCAGCTAATCAGATTTGAGCATAGTACATGCAGTTATTACGACTTGAATTTACCATTTAGTTTTAGGTGGGATATACTTCACTTGGTCTATTAAGGATAGAGATTGTTCACATTGGTCTCAATTAATTGTATTAACTATGTACATACGCTGCAGTTAGACCTAGCCATATATATTTCAAAATATACTTACTATTTGGGCTACATTGTAGGGAGTGGCTGGAATGCCTGTGCTCTGAGGCGCTGTCTTCTCTCAAATCTCACATCAACTCAGCTACAATTCAAGAACACGAGGGAAAGTCAGTCTCAAGTAAAAATGAAGATATCAGTCGTCAACTATTGGCTGCAGTAAGTTGCTACTGGCTTTGTCGTCAACTATTGGCTCACGATGAATTGAATGTGTTCAAAATCAGGTCGCTATAATTGAAGAGTTTTTCGACTGGGTTTTCAAATGGGGGGGGGGGAGTAGTTTCAATTCGTGGTTTTCAACAAAACGAAGTTTTGTAGTTGTATTTTTTTCTAATTCAAACTGCTCAGTTTAATCCTACTATGTTAGAATTAACGCCTGATAAAATTCTATCTATAACGCGTCAGTGGCTCAGAAATCATTTCCAAATTGAATTGAGGAAAGGTAATCGATCTAATTACGATTTTGTTGTGCGCAATGGGTACCGAGCAGACATTCGATTGGTAAAACAGCCGGAATAAAAGTGTTGCAAACATCCGAAAACAGCTTTACTGGGACAAAAATCTCATTTTAAAAAAAATAGAGCAAAGATCCGATATCTGTTTTTCGTTCAAAAGATGTATTGGCCGAATTAATAGTGGCTGCTTCAGTGGCGCTAGCGTCTTGCGAATTTGCCAATAGTGAGAGTACTCTATACGAAAAATAGAGACGGTTTTCTTGACGGCGCGGGCGTACCGCGCCCATCGACGACCTTAAACCGATAGTCGGCTAATCTGCTTGAAATGTCTCGAATCATAATATTACTTAAAATGCTTAAAAGAACTTAAGTGATATATGTCTTGATGATTTTTTCCAGGAAAAGTCTTTAAATGCTTTAGTAATTAAAGCAGTGCATCCTTACATTCTTGATGATTTTGTTGTTTTGTTTCAGGAAAAATCTTTAAATGTTCTAGTGCAGTGCATCCTTACTAAAGCAGTGCATCCTTACATTTAAATGCTTTTATGAATTTACTTAGCTGAACTTGAACTTGAGTCAGCTGAAAGTTTGGTAAATTAAGTTCTCCATTTACAAAGGCGGAAATGACGCGAAAAAACGTCAGCTACTTTTATGAGTTGAATTTTTAGATTTCTCAGTGGAATTAAAATTTTCAGTTTCTTTAATGGGATTTTGTTTCTCTAAAAATCGTCAATCAAAAATTGTCGTCGAATTTCATAGATTTTAACTTGATATAATTTTCTTTCGAAGTTTGTAAGTTGGAAAATGTTTGAACATTTTCAAACTTGTTTTTTTTTGTTTTTGTTGTTCTATTACACTTTTTCCAACTTTTTGTTGGCTGTTTATTTTAAACATTGGGATGTTTGACATATGCGCATTATTTGCATGCGTCTTTTTGCTTTAGACACATGCGCAACAACATTCCTTTGTACTTTATCCTAGAGGTTGACGTTGAAATGACAGTTGAAACATTAATGACTTTGCCCTAATACTAGCAGTCTTGTTATTTTTTAATTTGCGATAGCATCTCCAAAGTTAGTTACGCTTAATCGTATGACAGCAATGTGCGTATATCGTTTAATGGAATAAAAGATAGGGACATATAACGTGCTTATAACAAAACATCTTCTTTTACCGAAAAATAAAAAAAAATGTTATGAGCAATTTTCAGAATCTCCGATTAAAAAGTTTTTTCTTTTATAAATGTAGTCACCAAAGGTTTTTGGCTGAGCTCCCATGCCGTTTTGGAACTTTAATATGCTTTATAAAATACAAAATTTTTCCATTGGTTCTGACCGAAGATGAAGAGTTTCCTGCAGCTCCAATAAATTGTGCTTATAATGTAATAAATGATCCGTAGTCTGCTTGTATAGCAAATATCTTTTTTCGTGTAATCTTTCGTACAACGTTTTTTTGGACAAGTTTTTGAGATTACAGGAAGTACTTGTTCAGTCGTAAAGTTGTGGCTATGAGCTTGGAGTTGCGGCTGTTGAGTTTCAAATTTTTTTGAGGATTTGTTTTCTTTACACGAGGAGCGTAGGGTCTTATTATGGTATCGACTTTTTTTCCAATCTCAGCCGCAAATAAAATGGTGATTCCTTGAGGCGCTTTTCATCGTTTGCAGCAATAACCCTTTACCTGATTCAATTTTGCGGCATATAATTATATCTTTTTATCCATGGCGCAGTTCCTAGAACGTGTGACTCTGAATCTACATGTCGGGGATTCGAATCCGGCACATAGCAGATTTGTTATTAGTTATATCTTTTCTTTCTGTTTTCCCCTTTTAATCCTTTGTGCGCTTGTGTTGGCAAAATTATAGCTTCGCCTGTGTGTAGGAGTTTTCTGTGTTTTTGGGAGATCTTTTTAGCCGTTTTGTTTTTGTGCCTGAGAATTGCAAATTGAGCTCGCTGTTCTAATTTTGATAATCGAAAGAACTAAGTCCAAATTGCTAAAAACTGCGCTTTTTTGGTCTTTTATTTAGAAAAAGGTTTAAGGGACATTTATGGGTATTCGATACACATTCAGTTACTGTGCCGACCATTGAAAGTTTTTTTTCGTTATAGTTTTAGTTTTTTTTTCTATGCAAGTTTTTTGTGTGGTAGTTTTTTTCTATGCAAAATCAGGTACTACAATTAATCATCGGAATGAGTCGATTGAAAATTCATTTTAAAGTTTTTGCAGTTGTAATTCGAACGATATTGAAAGATTCCCAAGAAGCTTTCCCAGTGTCGAGAATAGATGGTTTGAATTTTTCTGTAAATTTTCAAGCGAGTAAAGCGATCGAGTAAAGTTCGTTATCTGAAAATTTGGTTAAGAAAACTTTTTCTTACTAAAAGTAACTACGATTTAGAACTTTATTGGCAAAAAGTTAGCTTAAAGTAGAGCTATCTAAGCAAAAAATACTTCAAAAAATTTTTTTAAATATTTTTGAAAGTTTTCCACATTTTGTTTGTTATTTTTTGGACAAATGATGTCCTTCATGTCTAATATACTCAGGGGCGGATTTAGGGGGGGGGGGGCGGTGCGGCCCCTAAATACTCATATTATATACTCATTTTCTACATCTTTGTATAGCTCTCTCATCACACCGCGTACAAATAACGACTTTAATTTGAAAAAAAAAGTAAAATAAGAAAAACTTTTTTTTTATAGTTTTTTTTTATGAATATGGTCGGAACATTCTGTGCTACTTGCACAGCAACCGGTAATCCTCGTTCTTGTTGGTAATTTGTACATCAATTGTCCGTTGAGCTTCAAAGATGAAGAATGATATTTTATTAATCAGTTCTTTTTTCAACTTTTTTCAATTTGTTTTTTTTTCAGTGCTGGGAGCAGATTGAAATTGTACATCAATTGTCCGTTGAGCTTCAAAGATGAAGAATGATATTTTATTAATCAGTTCTTTTTTCAACTTTTTTCAATTTGTTTTTTTTTTTTCAGTGCTGGGAGCAGATTGAAATTGAAGAGGAAACGGAAGAAGGCAAAACTGTGTCAACAAAGCTCAACATTCCAATTAAGGTAAGACAAAAGTTTTTCTATCCTACCTTTTAAACTCACGCCATTTTTGTTGGTTGAACTTATTATCAGAAAATCTAGCATTCTTTTTTGTTCTCAAAGTTGAACAAACATGGGGGTGGCTCCATGATTTTCTCATTGGAGCAAATTTTCTCAAATTGAAAATTTGCCAACCGAATTTATTTTCTGAGCTATCTCAGAAACACTGAAACAAAAACGTATTTTCTGCAAAGAAACTTGTTAGTCTTTCCCCAAACAGCCCTATAAAGTGTTCTTGTGAACAATAATTGGGAGATGATGTGCATCTTGAAAACTAACCAAGGTATGCAACCAAAGTATGTATCTTATTATTTCGTACTCAGGACAAGACGGGCGAAATGGGACTATTGAGATTCCTTTCCAACCAGAGAATTTCAATATCGAAAAAGGTGGTAGATTAACCAGCTACCATGTAAACCAGCCAAAAAATAATGAGAGGCTACGTAATACTGATGGAATAGTTTCAAAAATTACGCTAATTTTTACACAAATGACGTGTTTTTGCCTAAGTTACATATTATAGGAGTGTGTAAACTAGCCGAAGTATAAACCAACTGAAAAGTTAATCATGTGAGTGAAATTTGTATAACTGTTACATGATTGTTGCATAACTATTATATTACACTTTCGTTTTTTTGGCTGGTTTATAATAACTCACTGCCAAAACGCGAAAATCTTTGAAAAGAATCTCTTAAAATTGTTGAAGAAAAATACTCAAGGAATTTTTGTAGGGACCGGAACTTTCGGCAAATATTTGTTTCGAGTTTTTTGTTGTTATCCTAGACGTATTTTTATCCAGGCCTCTTATCCCGTGCATGAGATGCTGTTTGTGCTGACCAATGGACTGAACAGAGTGACGTCACTTCTCACCTCCGAGTTCATACAGCGACAGCAGAGGTCACAAAGGTCAGCAAAGTTCATTGTCATCATCTTTTTTATAGGTTCAATCTCCGATCAATTGAACCCTATTTTATTAGCAATTTTTCCGAAAGTTGGTTTAAATAAGTTATTACTCCTACTGCATTTGAAGCTGAAAAATGCATTTTTTTTTACAAATTCTAGAATTAACAGGACACTTCTAATTTGATTATTGACTTTTGGTCGTCTTACCCTTCAAATATTCGATGTAGCTATAGTTATCTTTTTTGCAGCATCTCATCTATACGATAAACGGGCTGAGAACAAAGCAAGAGTTTTAACTTCAGCTCTTTTTTTCATACTGATTTGATGAATACAAGAATTAAGAAAATTTATGGGATTTGTTTTTTTTTTTAATTTTTTTTAGACGTTTTTGAATTTGTTTTCTGTGTTCGGAAATTTTTTTCTGGAACTACTTTGCCGATTTTTTGAAAGTTCTACCAATGAAAAGTCCGGCTAGTACACTGTGTGTCGGCTTATTCCCCTGGTCTTTTTTTCTTCACTTTCTAGGGCCTTCAGAAATTTCAATGGGGGAATGTGTGCTCCATTTGTGGGTTTTATCGAAAACTATTTTGCAAAATCTGAGATAAAGGGTTCAATTGACAGAAAAATAAGCGGAATCTCCTCTGCTTAATTGTTATAGAAAAAAGTTGTGACCTCAAAACAAGACGTTTTTGACTTCTTATTCGTTTTTTGAAGCTTATTAACTTTTCTCGAAAACTAACATCCCAAATCTGAGATGAAGGGTTCAATCGCTTCATATTTATAAAAAATATCTAACAGTTATATCCAGCTTTAGCTGCGCCAGTAGTGTGGAATTATTGAGATTATTGTTCATTTGAGAAGGGTCTGAGCGCTCACGCGATTATAGTTCAAGCCTATTTTCTGTTTTGACATTTGAATTTTTTAGAAGCTCAGTTTTCACTTTCAATGTCTACGCAGAGCGTAGCAAAAAATTTCAATGTCTACGCGGAGCAAAAAAAATTGCTCATTTTTTTTTAAAATTAGCCCCCGGTCCTACTTACTCAATACAGGGCCAACCGTGGGGGAGGGGGGTTGTCATCCATTTCGTCGTAGCCGATCCCACCTTGAGGAGGCGGATGACTCTCTGACCCCTCCAACCATGACCGAAGCTGGATTCGAGCGCACGACCCTCGTATTGAGAGACCTGTGCCTTATCCCCCTCGGCCACGGCTGCCTTAGTGTTTTGATTTATCCACCTCTTTTCGCACTCAGCGGTGGTTCCATTTAACTAATTTCTTTCGTCCTAATCTGCGCCTGGCTGGTAGTTATCTTCCACCGTAAGCTGTGTTTGGCAGATAGAAATTTCAGCTTCGGAAAAATTGACTTGTTGCTCTCGTTTAATTTCGGCCTTCATATGAACCTGAATTAGCAAGCCTTCGGCGTTGATCTAAGCCTGGTGTTTCGTTGTACTAGTTTCATTTTAGTTATTTACAGTCTGATTACACAAACATAGCTGGTGTTATAGTGTGAACTTTCTTTTTTTCAACCTAAGTCGCAAATTTTGTTGCGACAAAGTGTGGTCATGTTGAAAGTGTTCATTTTGATCCAGCTATTAAGTACAGCCATTGCTAAGGATATTAACACAGATTATTAAATTACAAATAGCACTCTAACTTCAAGGCATCATGGATCTGTAGCGTAGAGGTAGTGAAAGAGATCAACAGCAAATTATTAGGGTTCGTAGCTGGTCAGGGTCGGATGTTTTCAAAGAACTTTTTCGTATACTAGTTAAAATGCGTCCGCTCTATAAACTGAGAATTTTTAGTTGTTAATTTTATTTTTCAAATTGCCTTGTACTGCTAATGCGTCATAATTGGCTTGTGTTACCTAGCATCTATGGAGACTAGTATTAGGCGTGCGTCTTTTATGAAATTTTATAGACTCAAAGTTTTACTCATTCAGTTTTTCGCAGTAGCGTTATTGGTCATATTTTTGCTTGTGTATGCGAAGTGCAACTTCGCCTCAGTGTTAAAATCTTGAAAACTACTAAAATCTCTGACCCTTACTTGGACCCGGTTACGTTTTTCACATTCTTGAATTTCGCTCGATTTGCTGGAAGGCCATATTAACAATCAACCGTTAGCTCCCTTATGTGAGAGGGGTTAGGGTGGACCTGAAACGTCGATGGCTGAAATATAGTACTCTTAGCTCTTTGACGATATCCTTGTAGCAATCGCTGACTCTACTGATCATTGCATATTTTCTTTTTTTCAGTTATAACTTCCGCAATTCTAGCCATCAATTAGAGTGCTCTGATTAAAAAACGCATTTAATCAGAAACAACTTCAGGGCTCATCAACAGTTTTGAAGATTTATTGAACAGAATTTTTTGTGCCTCTCGTAATTTCTACGTTTTTAATATTCCTGAGCTTCAGTTTATGCATGAAGTTTTCACTGCATATGGTGAAAAAGTGCCACCCGGTCTTAAGATAATGACAGTATTCCGCAAAAACACCATATACAAGAGAGGAACCAAGGACGGAATTCCGCCATCTCTTGGATCCTGAGAGCTCAATTATTTTGCTGTATGGCCTTTGCTTCTTTGAAACGCCACAATTTTGTTTGCTTAACGTTGAATTAGTCGTTTCATTTCATCCAGTTTGTCTGTTTTGCATTTTTCTCAGATCTGAAAACTAGTCGAGGTAAAGGCGGCTCGGAAAACACGAGTTTTAAGCCTTTGTCTAAGCATCGTTTTCTTTATCTTGGAGCTCATGTAGCAGAACTGTCCAACGAAGCGGCCCGCGTACTGAAAATATTTTTTTTCCAAAAGCTGTTTTGTATTTCATGACAGTTATTGTGCAGTTTTTAATTTGTCAGCCATAAACAATTCCATGAACAATTACTAGCATTTTTAAAGTAATTTTTTCTACTTTATACAGCAAATGCAAACTGAACTAATATTCTCTGATTCGACTTCGTTTAATCAAGTGGTGCCAATCAAGATGACGTTGCAATAGGCCAGGTGAAATAAGATTAAACTTTTCCTCAGGAGACTTTGGCTTTCGAGGTTTAACTACAATTGAGCTCTGCATAGTTGTCTTAATTGGAAGTTACAGGCACTGCATATTGAATTAATGTGTGATAAAATATGATATAACATGGTTAATTTTCACACCTAGTGACGTGATTTCATCTGCTAAATTCACCTCCGTTCCATTGAAAATAAAATGTGATCTGTGCTTTTTTGATAGTTCTCGCATGTGCCCCATATCAGCTCCATTTTTGGAGCACCACGACCGAATTCCATCTTCATAACATATATTAGCAAGTCTGCCAAAGTATTTGTCGCCTTCCCCTAGTTTTTTTTACCCAGGCAAAGTCATGGCGGCTTTCTTTTGTACCTGCTATTGGAGGAGACTGTTTTGTTATCCTTAGTTGTTTCCTATTTCAAACAAAGGCCTTTCGACAGTTGTATCTATGGTTGTACATTTTCTGCACTACTGAGCTGTATTTAGGCTTGCTTCTGGGTTTTTGAAGCTCATCCTCCATCTTTTAATTTTTTTGGGTAGCTTTGATAACTTATCCAGTTTACCCTGCCTGTCCTGCAGTAATTCGAACACTGACTCTACTGTTGATGCTCGACAGCGGTTTCATGATCAACTTACGTGTCCTTTAGCAGGTACTTGTAGACCAAGGCAGCTTGTATGAACTGATTGTTTGCAAATGACGCAGCAGATTTTGTTTCCGTCATCTACGTTCTCGAAGCACTCCGTTCACAGAGACGTTTTAATTCAGAATCTGTAGGTCGGATCGTCCATTGGCTGCTGCAGACCGAACTAGACCTGATTATGACCCAACATTATTTAAAAGGTTTTATGGGTTTTCCAACTGCTCGTATGAATTGTAAGCTGTTTACTGTGTTCTTTCGAAGTTCAGCCCTGATCTTGGCTTGTTCACTTTTCGCAATATTTTGATGATTTATAGCTCTGGTCTGCGCTTGGTCACTTTTCGTAATAGTTTGGTGTACCCTTTTTTCAAAGCCAAATCATTAATCAGATTTCTAAAATGTCAGAACTTGGACCAGTGTATCTGATTCGTCGATCAATTTACCTTTGAAAAGACTAAGTAAACAGCAATATGTGCCATTTAATAAGTTTAATACAATATTTATGCTCTCCGAGAATCAATGACTCATTCAAAAGCCGGCTTTTTGGGGAACAGCCCTTTATGTGTGTCGATTAGCATGACTATGCAAAAGACTCTTGTGAATCGCTTGCTTTTTTAAGATTTGCTCATTCTTTTTTGCAAATTGGCGCGTTTTCTTCCCCTCACTGGATTTTTTATACAAATAAAATGATTGTTCACATGGTACGATTGTTATGAAAGTTGAGATTAAGACTAATTAGGACATGAGAAAAATATTGGGTCATCATTGTTAGCCTTGTAAAACAATTTGCTGCAACAAAAAATTGATGCTCGTGCGAGCTTGAGGGAGGAGGAAAAAGAGCCTACAATTTAAGTAGCGTGCACGTAGTCGCCTATTTATTTCTCCTTCAAAAATTTATTTGGAACTTTAAGCTAATTGGCTTTCATCCGACTGAACATTCAAATAAACCCAAGCGAGCTAGTGAGCTCATTGTTATTTTGAGAATCCAGTTATTTAAAACACTGCTCGCTATTAAAGTGCTCATTCGGTGGGGGTGCCGGACATCAAGCCGAAGAGACTTCAAGCCGAATTGTAAAATTAGGGACTTCAAGCCGAATAATTCCTTATAAAGTCGTGAAATATGAACAATTTGAAAACTTTTTTGAAGAAGTTCTGAATTTCATGATCTTTCTTCACTAGTTATTGGCGTTTGCATATAATTTAAGCTTCCGAATGATGTTCCGGAAAGTTGAAAAGTAAAACATGGTTGGAGGCATTTTTCATGTTTATAATTTATGCATTTCAAAAACCGGCTGATGTTATTAACGGATGCGAATCACAAGTGGTGCGTTGTCATGAATAACGCTTATTATGGACTAAACTTGCCAAAATTTTAGAAAAGCAACATTTTGCAGATGATAAAATAGCGTTTTGGGTTGCTTGTAAAGTTTTAATTTCGGCTTGAAGTCCCTTCGGCTTGAAGTCCCGTCGGCTTGTTGTCCTAGACCCATTCGGTGGCCCTTTTGCTGCACAGCATTGGCAATTAAATATCATCTGTTTTTTTTTCTGATTCAGTGGTGGTTTTTTCTTGCCATTGGCAAGAGAGCTTGGCTCAGACGTCGGACTATCAATCTCGAGGTGATTTTTGTAAATCATTTTTTTGAGGTATTTTTTTTATTAATCTCGAGGTCGAGTGCTCGCATCCGGCACATAGTAAAACTTTTTTATTCTGCGTGGGCGGCGAATTAATCGTACTCAGAAATCATTCCAAATTGATTTGAGATTGACTAATCAATCCATTCATTGCGGAAATAGAGGCGACAATTTTTTGGTTTTGACCTTACATATGGGAGATAAAAATGCAAACTGTTTTAAAACTCTTTTTTTTTGCAAAAATGCTAATCGAACTTTTAGGGCTTCGCCCTGAAACGAACAGCCTTGTTCTCTTTTAGGTCTGCGCATTCATCATCAATCTCAGCCACACCTTTTCTCTTTCTGCTCGCAGCAGAACTCAAAGACCGACTGAGCAGCGACGCAAGACATCTTATGAACGAAAAACTAGTCGATTTCTACAGCAATAATCTATATCAAACGGAAATGATGGACACGAAACTAGCGGTGCAGATCATATATGATATCAAATTCCTAGCAGTGCTGTTGGCCAACTCGGATGATGTTTACAAGTCCCCCTCTAGAATAGGGGGAGGGGGAAATGATGAGTCATTGGTGGCAGTGGTGGGAAAATATGAGCAGCATGTGGACCCATTTGACTATGATGTGTATTCACAGCATATGGGAGACAAGTTAGCCCAGGAGGTAAGGTATTTATAGTATTAAAAGTATGTCTCTAATTTATTAGGGATGGACTTTTTTGGCTTACATGTGCTTTTAATTTTGGATTTAATTCAATAGTTAGATGTGTGCATTTATGGAAAAGTTGGTTTTGTTTATGAAATTTACCGATGTCTTTTTTTTTGTTTGATGTCAATGTCGTTCCCGGCTACTTTCCAGTGACTTTTCTCGTTCATTTGGAAATCCAATAAAATTGGTTTATGCGATTTAAATTGTCAGTGCTTGAAAATTTGAAAAAAATTCGAAGGCTTTTCAGGCAATGGAAATTTTGAAGGTCAGCTTTGAGTGAATGACTAACTTTCAGCCTTTCGTGATCTTTTAAACGTACATATTCATACGTTATTTTCTGCTGTTACATGTGAATCTTACCACTTCTGTATTCGTCGTAAAATGCTGTTAATGTTATGCTGAAATATTGTCAAAATAGATCCCGAAGCTGAAGCACGTGACCTTGAAATGAATTTTTTAGGTCGGTCAGAGCCAACACCTCTACGGCTATTTAATTTCCCAGTCAACTCTGGCCTCGAACTCAATAAACCTCTCATCATCATCTACATCTGGACCATCCGGATCGAAGACTTCTGGAAGAAACGCACCATCTTCATCGCACATGCACAACCTGTGTCAGCTGGTGTCTTCTCCGAATAAGTTCCAGCCTCTATCAGTACCCCACAGTGCTGCCTCTTTCGCCCTCAAGCGAAGTGCAACTGCAGTGTCAGGTAGCGCAATGGGATCTACAGGGGGTGTCACAGGGAGTCAAGTGACTCCGACCATCACGCCTGATGTAAGTACTCCAAAAAAATTAGTTTTAAGGAGCTGTGATCATGAATATGAAACGAGCTCGATATTGTAACGAACATAAATTGTCTGATTTTGAAATAACGGCCATTGTTGTATCTTAACTTAGTTGAAACTTTTATATGTGTTTAGGGGAATTTCGATTTGAGTTTTTACACCATTGAGTCTTACACTAATTTTCGCCTATCATTTTGCGTATTGAAACATCATGTCGAAAGTTAGAATTGAGGCACAGTAATTATTTCTGTTTGTTTTGCAGCAAAGTCACAAGGGCAAAGTAAATCTTACAATTTGATTTTCAATTGTTGGTTTTGGCTTGGTATGAGGTGCTTTTCTGAGTTTGGTTCATAATTATTACTACTATTGAATGTGGAAAGAAACGCTGTACTACGTTTGGTTTTTTTTCCACAGAAAAACGAGCAAAAACATCGTATGGGCTGGAATATTGCATTTTCTAAAGCGTTTTCAGAAGTTTTCGGTTTTCTAGGTTATATTTATTGACGATTAGAAGTGGTTATATGATTTAAAAAAAACTATTCTAGAATTATAATTGTATAATTGTGGGTTCTTTGTAAACTATTGTAAAATATGACTAATAAAATTGTCCGTTTTGTTTTAGAAGTTCGCCTCACCGGGATCATCGCTGCTCAAAGGATGGCTCAAAGGCTGAACCGACAGTGAATTAAAAAAGATAAATCAAACTCATCGGATTTGGCTGTTATTTGGTTTTGTTCAATTATAAACTCGTTCAAAAGACCTCTTAAGTGTAATCTGCATATCATTGTAAACCTTGGTGTGGTTATCTGCAATCATGAGTGAAATATAGATTTTATTTGCAATTTAATCTGAGAAAGATTACTAATCTGAGCATTTTATCGTCTAATACAGCTTGCGAGGTTCAAAGTGGAATCAATGGCTCTAAGTGCAATCAAAATATGGTTATGATTGCACTAAGAATATTTTGTTCCGACCACTTTACGAAGGGAAGAAAACTATAGCATAGGGTTTGATTTCTGCTTCGATTTTGACTTCATCAATGCTCTATTGATCGTATTTCAGATTCCTAAAAGTGGTTTCAGAGTGACTAAAATAGACAAATGATCTGTAATTTTAGCCGACCTCTAATTCCAACTAGAATTCTACCTAAATTGTTAAGTTATATTAGCTATTATTACCAATTATTGTTGAGTTATTAGCCTAAATCAAAAGCGCGTTCTAGAAACCAGCAAAATTAGAATATCAATTTAACAAGACTGCTCGTATCAGGGCGAAGCCCTGAATGTTCCGACTGCCTTTTAAGGTTTATGAGGCAGTAATAACATTAAAAAATTAAATGTAACAAAAAAATGAAAATTTTTTTCTAAAATTTAAATTATTTTTTATAAAAATCATCCCCCCACACGCCATATAAAGTACAAAAGGATAGATTTCGCTGCTTGTAACAAATCAATTACGGCAAATAAGCTTTTTTCAACCAAGTTGGAACGATTTCTCAGACGGATTAACTCTCCGCTTGCGCTTTAATAGCGCGAAATATATCGCGCATTAATTGTCACAAAATGGCAACCTTTAAACCCCCATAACTTTCTGAAAAATGATCACAGGTAAAATATCTTTTCAAATTTGAGCTCAGGACAACAATACCTTTCGAATGATATAAAAAAGTTCCGTCAAAAATGGCTAGTTAAAAAGTCGAAATTTGTCTGAAAAAAAAAACCACCCCGAGCACAAATATTCCGTTACTTTCGTATCGAAAGTCGGAACAATAAAATTTTCGGTTTTCCTAAAATTATTATTTTTCGAATTTCTGTTCTAAAGTCAGTGTGGTGTTTTGGGCTAGCGGGACTGAATTAATACGATCGATCAAATCGCTACTAGTCGAATAAAAGGGTCTTTTTACCGGTTGCTAAGACTTTCCTACTCTTATTCAATGGATAAATGATCTTTGATCCACTCGTAAATATCTTTATTATTGTTCCGACTTTCGATACAAAAGTAACGGAATATTTGTGCTCGGGGTGGGTTTTTTTTCTTCAGACAAATTTCGGCTTTTTAACTAGCCATTTTTGACGGAATTTCTTTTATCATTCGAAAGGTATTACTGTCCTGAGCTCAAAATTGAAAAGATATTTTACCTGTGATCATTTTTCCTAAATTTACGGGGGTTTAAAGATTGCCATTTTGGCCAATTTGGGACAATTAACGCGCGATTTATTTCACGTTATTAACGCGTAAGCGGAGAGTTAATCCATCTTAGAAATCGCATAAATTGGTCAAAAGAAGCTTATTTGCCATAATTGGTTTGTTACAAGGAGCAAAATCTATCCTTTTGTAACTTATATGACGTGTGGGGGGATGATTTATAAAAAATTTCAAATTTAAAATTTTTTTTTCATTTTGTTTTATTTCATTTTGTAATGTTATTACTGCTCCATAGACCTTAAAAGGCAGTCGGGACACTCAGGGCTTCGCCCTGATACGAGCAGTCTTGTTTCTATTTATAGGCATAGCTTATAACATCAATAGTTATAGATCGGCAAAATATAAAGAACAGCATGCGTTTTTTTTATGTTGGATTTTATTCTCAATCTGAAGTATTTACTTTTTTGATGAAACTTATCGTTTTTGGTCCAATGAGTTAGTATTGGCAAGAAAGCTGGTAGGAGCTGAGAATTAATGATTTAGAAAGCTCGTATAAGCGAAAGAGAGCGAAGAGCAAGTTTTGTTAGTTATGTAATTTTAAGCGTAGAAGCGAAAGTCGACAAGCGAATGAATTTGATATGAACCACATTCCATTTTTTGGTTAATCTTGTTTTACAACGCTTGCATTTTGCATTCTTGGTGATTATTTAATAATGTTACCTTATTCGGTTCGTTTTCAGCGTTTATGGTACTAATATCCAAATGTTTAGTTGTTAACGTAGTTCGTCTGCATTTTTACTGATTTCATCCAAAGCATAAAAAAAATTATCTGATTTTGATTCTGAATATCCAACCTTCTAATAGGACGAGTGTTCGTTTTTATAAATAGAGGCCAACAAATAGTTTAAAAAATATAAAATTAACAAATTGATTATACACCATAAAGTTGCAGCAAAGTTTCAATAGTTTGTGTAGTCTTGTGGCGGCGGTCAAATCACAGTGGGAGGTGTTGTAGTTATTAAGGACGAAATTGTATCGAAAAACCAAATTTAAATGTGCTTTATAAACTTTTTAATACAGATAAATGATTAAGGCCAATAAATAGTTAAAATGGTTCTAAAATATTCATTTCACTGGGTTGTGCGTTGCTGATTTAGAATTCTCAGCTCATTGACTGTCTTCTGCATCTGATGGATGCGATGTAGGTCGTTGATATAGTTTTTTGAATCTGGTCTATTAGAATTCAAGGTGGATGTCTGCATTTATGCAGTTATGAAAGCTGCTGGAACAAGTGTGTTGTTTCGGGAGTTGTAGATGATGTATAGCCAGTTTGTTCAAGAAATGATTTTAGTGCAGTATGAGTAGGTATAATCTTGAAATGTCTGACCATTGTCTTTCTTTTTTGTACGCCCTTGTTTATCTTAATTTATCTTTGAATTTTTAAATGTATGTCCAAGTAGAGTCAATTCATTCGGTCCATTGTGTTCTTTGAGTCGTCTAGCGAGAAGAGATTTTCTATTTTCAGGATGTCTTTTTCGTTGGAGTTTCAAGAAAATTTTCGGATACATCCTGTAATAAAAAATGAAATAGATTAGACCGGAGTAGGTCAGTTTTGGGTTGCATGATTTTTAAAAATTGACTAATTAAAGTCTACAATATACTTTATCTTGATTTTCGTAGTCAGAATCCTCTGGCAGAGGTGCATGAGCATGATTCTTGCACTCAGTAATTTGATCAGTCTCATTTTGAGTTAATATTGAAGTCAATCTAGAAGTGAAGAGTATGTTATCCGTGGCCGCTAGCAAAACTTTGCAAAAATGAAGGCATCGTTTTGTGTATGTGTAATACTTTTATTACAAATACAAAGGCGTCTAAATTACACTTGACGAAAAGAAATTAAGCGAATATGATTCCACATTTTTTCCTAAACAGTACTGTACTGTACCAAAAATACTAACATACTCGTTTTTTTTTAAACGAGACAAATTATCGTTGTTAATTGGATCGACACTATGAATTTGGTCTTTAGACATAATCGGTACTGGGTTATAGCACTGTTCCATTATTTATAATGGAGAATAAAATTTAGGGCAATGTTATAGCCAGTCAACATTGCCATTAGCCTTTAGAACCATAGACGTCTTTTGGGTCAAAATATAGCCGGCTAAACGCGAGGTCTTGAGAAAACATCAAAGTTTTAAGAATGATGGACCTTTCGAGTTCGCATCGATTCTTTAAAAGGAACGATTCGGCAGCTCGGAGCATGTAGAAGCTCCGAAAAAGATTAGAATCTAGTTTTGTTCCTAGTTGAGCTTCATAGTCGATTTGCTGAGGCGTGAAGGGACTTTTAGGACTCTTAGCATAATTTACGTATGTTTTGTTCAGCTTTGCATAGCTAATACCTGCGATAAAGTCTGGATTGGTTTTTCTCCAGTTTCCATATTGTGACCGTTTTGGTGTGCTATAAACACAGTTCCATTTTGGGTTGGATAGACTTTATGATTAACTACATAAAGATTGAGGCTCATTTATTTTTTTAAGCATAAGTTTTGAAGAATCCTTCGATCGAGGTTTGTGAATTGATTTTGTAAATTAATCTTTTATAATCTAGTAGTTCTCTTCATTTCGTATCATTTTTTCTTCGAATTCATTGAGAAATGAAAAGACGCAATTTTGAGTTTCTTTCAACTCTAAGGAAAAGGGTCTAGGGATGTAGTATCCCATCTGTTATCATAGCCCGGACAACGCAAAAAAATTTTTGCCAATTGTTAATTTTTTAGACTGACAGTCAATGAAATACTTTACTTATTTGTTTCAAACGTGTTGAGTTTTATCGAAGAGTGGCCATCACGTTCATTGTGATGTTTGACGTGTATTTTACCGGCGTGGCAGTTAGTAACAATTTTTTTTCGTTTAAACGGGACGGAAAATTTTTAGTTCTAGAAAAGCCTAAATTAACATAGCCACGTTCGGCTGCAATTTTAAAAGTGTCTGTTGATATATGTATATCAGTTGTGATTACTTTTTGACGAGCGCCTATTGTACTTGAATCGAGCTGCTCGGGAAATCATCGGATAGATTGATTTTTTATACGACACATTGTCCCATTAATTCTTGTGCCATAATGTTGTTAGTACAAGGTAACGTCAGTTTTTGTAATTTTGTTGTTTTCGGGTTGAATTTTACAAGGTGCTCATCGAGAATTTAGATGGGGTGTTCAAAATCCATGATTGCGCCTTCTTCGAGATCTTTGATATATGTGTTGGACATTTTCGAAGTCAGAACAGTTTAATTTTGTTCTGAGTTGAGATTCAGTTAGTTTTTGTTTTTTGACTCTTTTTAGTCAGGAGTGATTTGATTTTTTCTGAGTTAAGATGGAAAAGTTTTCAAAGTTTTTTTGACTGGTTTAGTCAGAACTGACTTGATTTTTTTTCCGAACTGAGATGAAGTGATTTTTTCATTTCTAATTAGTTTAATCAGGACTTTTTTCTGTGAGTTGAGATTCGGTTTTGTTGTACAATTGTGGAGAATGAATCTGTTTGATTTTGGCTGGTTTGTATAGATCAGATTATGATTTTTCAAATCGTTTTTTTTTCCAGTTTTTGTTTTGTTTTAACAAAATCTGCTGTTAATTATCCGACTCTGCCGTAATTTTTTTATTGGTGCGTGCCTAAGGCAGGCAGAAAGGGCTTGATTTTTTTGTCAGCAATGTTTTACC